TGGTTTGCACTGAAGGAGCAATAAAGTCATTAAGAAAACAGACACGCTAATCATTTGACCCCTTGCTAACGCCTAGTCGGGGTATAACTTTTAGCTGAAAAATAGGAAGGAGTAAGTTAGCTAATACAATGTGGCGTAACACATTCACTAAATGATGGTGAAAGTTTTGTTCAATTAAATCTTTATGTGCAAAATCTATACAGATGTGAAATAAGCTTGACGTTTATCACCACTTTCACTGCAATGCTTTCACTGCGCTGTTTGACTAGAGCTGCATCCGAACAGTTGCATGAAACTTCCTTTCATGTCTTTTTGACCTGGTAGTCATGTCAACATGCTAGTGAGTACTGTAAACATGTTTAGTAAGTCTATGGGCTGCAGATCAGCCAAACTCAAGGGAAACTGGTATGAAAGGAAAATTCATTCAGCTACTCAGAACCAGCCTAGAACCGACTAACGCTGCCACAATTACGGATCATCTGTCGTGACATCACATTCCCAAGCCCTATTGGGTTGTACTGTATTCATTGTATCATGATTAGCGTGTTAGCCTGTGGCTAGTTTGTTTGTTTAAGGTTTATATTAGTTAGTGGCTAATATACTATAATGCTCAGCTTTTGTTTCTAAAATTGTACTTTAATAATGTTAAATGCTCTAATAAACTTAAAATGGAAATAATAACTCGTTATATTAACATACCGTAATGAAAAGATCTATAGTCAATTTACAGGCTTCCTCTAAGAATTTTATAGCAAATTCAGACAATTGCTTTAGTTTACCATTCTGTACACAAGTAAATATATGCACAACAAAATACTCTAGACTTTTTATTAAAATGTATGAAATTAAGGCATTATATTTTAAATTTAGTGAATTAGAATGACAGTGGTAACACTTCCAATGGTTAAAATACTGACCCAACATTTCTGACTATATGTATTTAGACAGCTGCTCAGTTGTTTCTTGGAGCTAGTTGTGGTTACATCATTAGATCGTACACAAGGGAGATAAAAAAGAGGCCTAGGGGTGATTCTAGATGCAGCTTTTGCATCTGGAGTCTGTTGCTGTTGTCTCTGAACATTAGGATCAAACAGGTCAGAACCAGGCTGAAAAATCAGAATAAATCAGTCAGAGACAGAGCCAAAGCATTAGGTGTGTCAGCATCAGCTGTCTGGGTCATCACTAGAAAAAAAAACAACACACCAATGAGGAGTGGGAAACAAATCGGCAGACCACAGAAGTTCACAGAAGTGGATGAGCAGAAAATATCTTAACTGTAGGGACAGATTAGCAAGTCTATCCAGTACTTTCTCAGGAAAAACATGCTAAACTGTCACTGAAGTGGCACCCCTCCTGTCACTGGGGTGGTACCCTCAGGGATATGTCTTTAGTACCTTTAGTCCAGGAACGTAATTGTGCCATATTCCATTGAAATGATTTGTTGTAGTTGTACTGACTCCGTATACTGTCTTGTCTCCAGGATTTTTATTTTATTGTACTGTTTTAAATCATTAGGTAATAAAAAAGGCTGAAGCATGTACTTTTTCCTTGAGAAAAACACAATTGGACCTTAAAACCACTGGTATACCTTTGGATGTACATTTACATTGCTTGTAACTTGATGTATGAAAGATGTACCTGCACAGTAACTTTTTTCTGGCAATGTTTGTAGGCTTAGACGTGTCAAAAGCAGAAGTCTGCATGCGAAAGAGGCTTGTGTGTTTTCCTTAGTACAGGATACAAATTTGTTTTTGTAATAACAGTGATTTGGTCCTCTTCATATATACTACCTAAAACTGATACGTATCAGATATCTGACAAAATAAGTTCTGTCTATCTGGTGGAAATTATCTAAACCTCTTTTCACAGCAGAAAAATGCAGTTTCCTTCTGTTTTGGTCCCTCAGAATTTTGCATTTTTTACTTTATCAACATTAAAGCAATATGGCTTGAAGGAAATGTGTTTGATTTAAAAAAAAAAAAAAACAGAATCAGGCTGGATTTTCATCTTCGTAGGCGTGCAAGCAGGTCAACATTTGTTAGCAAGTGTTTTTTATTGTTTTTAAATGCTAATTTTTATTGTGGCAGTTGTAAGTGATTGTTCAGTATAAAGAAATCTGCAGTTGTGCTGTCTGTTCTACTGCAGAGGGTTCTCACCCCTCCCCTTTAATTTCTCATTGCTCACTAGCAGCATCTCAACGTTTCACACACAGAGCGCCAACAGCACCTAGTTAATCTGATCATAGAGTTAAAGGGGAAAACATTTTATTTGATTATAATAGTTAAAATATCCAAGTCATTTTCCATTTCCCTGGAGGAATGGCCACTAGGGCTTCTGCAGAAAGAGGTTGAGGGAGGGTAGAGGACGACTTTAAAGGTTAGCTATGGCTAGCCTTCCAAGCATTTAGTTTGTTCTTTTCTGGATGAACATTGGTGGAGTGTTGTTCCACATTGGGGTCAGTTCAAGAGGTTGAGGTTGGGGGTGCAATTTCACTGGGGCTCATTGCCTCTAAAATCTTCATTCGGTCACTCATGCAGATACCAAAAAAGGAAAACAGGTATATACCCCATATTCAGTCAGTATCCAGTTAGCTTCCATCAACACTACACAAACAGCTCTGATGTCTATTCATAAAGCTCTCTAATGTAAAATTAAGGTTAATGTTAGATGCTAGTGGGTAGAGTGACATGCCTTGAAGGGAAAATCCACCAATTTCTCAGATTTTCTGCATAATTAAATTATTAGATTGTAAACCAGGTTTTTCAGAGTGGTTTGATGTGAAATGCTCTGCTCTAGAGATACTTACCAAATCAGAACTGTTCTCTGGAGTCTCAAGAGTTTAATGCCTCTAAAACCTACGTCACAGGACGTTATTACATGAAATGATTATAAATATGCTGGCTAATATCTGATGCATTGGTTTACAGTAATTTTGAGGAAGGTCTTTGTCATCAAACCTGTTTTTTTAAGCCATTCTTGGTGAGGAGCTGCATGCAGAGTATAAATGCAAAATAGTCCCAGAGAATTTTTTTGAAAGATTTAACACTATTTTACCATCATCAACATCACATATAAAACCTCAGAAGACATATGTAGGTTCAGTGGTTTTATATAGTAAATAAAATGGCTTTATTTGTGTAATAGGCATTGTGATTCCTGATTCCCATCACCACCACTGTAAAGCAGTCATAAGTTGGTAATTTTCTCTTCAATGCACCACTTCACATCAAAGCTCTCTGAATGACTCTGAACGGCTGACTAGATTATTTTAAATTGCCCAATTAATGTGGTCTCCAAAGAGCTGTGATTCCTATGGCTCACCCAGTGTAGATGTGCTTGCCCTTGCACTGCAACTGACATTCTATACTTTAACCTCATTCTCATTATTTCATTTCAAATCCAGTATGGCAGAAAAAAAATGTTTCCAATTCTACTATGCACTGCACTGCTTATGAGGAATGAAAATGCCTTCTCTGATGGGCCTGTAAGGCTGACTGAACATTCAAAGAGCTCTCTGAATTCCAGCAGGAATCACAGCCTGCTACTCTGTAGATTCTTTAAAATATGTACTCAAATAATTGACATACTCCACATATTAAAGGGGAATTCCATTGATTTTGCAAAGCATCTGTATAATTTGGTCATTGAGATGTTAACAAAGTCATTCAGTGTGGTTTAGAAAGTCATTCAGAAATGCTTCGTTTTAGAGAACCTTGGAATTTTTCAGTGGTGATGATGGGAATCAGACATCCGAAGCATTTAATGCCTCTAAAACCTGCCTTACATGAACACATTACATGAAACTGTTACACTGCCTGATAGTTTTTCGATAGTTTTGAGAAGATTTTGGCCAAAAACATGTCTTTTTAAATACATTCATGGCAGAAAGGTACGTGAAGGGCATTGGCATGTAAGGCAAAATAGACACACTGTTTTATTTTACAAATTATGAATTGTCTTATGCAACAAAAACAGTCTGAATTCATTTTTACATGACCATTTTCCAACATCTTTTTATTCTAGAAATTCACAGTCTGTTTTTATTGATGCACCTTTAAGACATACGTAAATAAAGTCTGTTCTGATTGGCTGAGCCCTTGACAAGTGAAATGAGGCACCATCATAACCATGATGGATCCGAAACGGGTTGCTTTTGCCACTTAGTTTTCATGATGGACTGCATGGAGGAGAGAGTAAATGATTTGTCAATACTTGCTGTAACATTGGGTTTCGCAGAATACCAGCGTGTCCTGGGTGGATCTTTCAGCAGTTTCTGCTTGTAGTTGTTTTTCCATTCATTTCCGCTGTATGTTTGCCAGGTGTGTTTAAGCAATGATCTTAAAAACAGTAGTAGAAGAGTCCACTTTGCATGTTGTGGCATGATGTTTCGTTTTCCAAGCACGTTCCAGGTAAGAGAAAGATGAAGCTTGTTTCTAAATGAGCAGGCTTTCCCCAGTGGTCAGAAATCAAAAGCAGAACAACAGTGTTCTCCTCGCTAGAGCATGATGAAGATTTAGAAATCTTTGTTCCTGATTGAGGTCATAAGCTGGAACAGATGACTACCCGTAACTTTTGTGTGGTATGTTATGAACTTTAAGCTGCTGTTAACTCTTGGAAGTCACCATTGTTGGAGACTATAGAAATGTGAAGTAAGTTTATAGTAATTATTTCTCTATAGCTAATTCAAACAAGTAGAAATTGTACTGAATTGTGCTGAAAGTGTGGATTCTAAACTTTGTTTTTGTTACTGAAAGAGGAGATGTTTTGTTTTTTTGTTACTGAAAGAGGAGATGTTTTGTTTTTTATTTGAATTTAATGAAGTTGTTGTTGTGTGTACAGTTTTGTTTTGTCATGTGTTTAACATTTGCTGACACTGAAAATAATGGAAAAAGTCAAAAATACAGACTCAAGCTTGTCAATACAGCATGTAAATCCAATGAAAGTGTTATTAATTGTGTAGCTATGTAATTATTAATGTAATCTTTCTCTCTTATATTCAGATGGCAGTGTGGATTCAGGCCCAGCAGCTGCAGGGTGATGCCCTGCACCAGATGCAGTCTCTCTATGGCCAACACTTTCCCATAGAGGTGCGACACTACCTGTCCCAGTGGATTGAAGGGCAACTCTGGTACGTAAACTCAGGCAGCTTAAAGCTGTGGAACAGGCTGTCAGTGTAGAGTGGGCAGGAGCCAGAGTACGCCGGGCAGTGTCAGCATTAGCACCTCCCCGAACTAAGTCAGCTTCAGCTGCATTGGCTTTCTGCTCCTCCAGGTTTTCTTTACAAATCTACATAAAGATCATTTTAGTTCTGCATTGCATTCATTGCTTTTTCTCTTTTTTGCTATTTCCTGCTGGGCAGTCGGTCTTTCTAAGTTTGTCTCAGGCTGTACTGGTTGAGCTTGTCTTTTTAGCAGCAAGTCCCGTCCAGTCTAAACACAACAGGGGGAACGCAGCAAAAAACACCCTTCATTTATTTAATTTCCAATGAAATTGACCATTAAGTACAAGTTATTCATTTTTCAGGAGATATTTCTGAGAAGATTAGCTCTAAGATATATAATAAGCTCACCGGACAAAAAATTAGTCACCTGTGACTGAAACGTACCTATTAGCATGTAATACCTCCACGAGCACAAATAACAGCTGTGATTCAAATTGGCACGGACTGGAAAAGGTTCTGGATGTAGGCGACATCAATGATCAGCCACTCTTGCATCAAAGAATTGCGCAGCTCGGCCAGATTTTGTGGATGCCTTCCCTGGCGTCTTACTCGTTCTTCCAGGTAGTCCCACAGATTTTCAAGAGGATTCAAATCGGGGGGATTTAGCAGGCCAATCCAGATGTGTGAATGCTCCTGAATGTCATCAGTCAGTCACATTTGCAGCCCTGCGAACATATTTTGCATGTTGGTTTTAACAGCATATGGGTATTGATCTTTAACCTTTTGCCTCTCAGGGATGCGATAGATCTGGAGAACCCTCAGGAGGAATTTAAAGCTAAGCGTTTATTGGACAGTTTAATTCAGGAACTACAGAAGAAGGCGGAGCATCAAGTGGGAGAGGACGGTTTTCTCCTCAAGATTAAACTAGGCCACTATGCTTCACAGTTAAAGGTAAACACATACACGCACACACATACACACACATACAGACCCCTATTTACAGTACGGCTCACCGCAAGAGCAAAATAAGCTCAAACTCATACACAAACACACTGAGTGCTGGTCATCTTCCTGAAGCTGCAGTCGATATAGATGCGCTTCAGGAGCAAATATAAAGTCAGATAGCGATGATAATGTACAATGGGGCGGTGAAAAAATATACATAATGACAGGAGTCGTCCAGATAAACAAAGAACATGTTGTCTTTCAGAGCACATACGACCGCTGTCCGCTGGAGCTGGTGAGATGCATCAAACACATTCTCTACACAGAGCAGAGACTCGTCAGAGAAGCTAATAATGTAAGTAGTGCTTCCACACACACACACACATGTTCTGAGTAAGATTGCACAAATGAAATGTTTGGTTTATGCAGTTGCCATAACACTCCATTAATGGTGTTATTAACATGTGGGAGCATGCATATATATTTACACTGTGTATGTAACACCACCATTTATTTGAGTTTCCAGTCAAAATGGCCATTAAGTACAAGTTCTAGAATTGTTAGTGGTATGAGAAAAAGCAGAAAACATTTAATAGAAAATTATGTTGAAGCCTATACTCTCAATTTTTATAAGAAATCTTCAGGGATATTTTTCCTCACCAACAAAGTTAAGTCTTAGAAGTTGTATTTTCTGCTTCTCATGCCCAAAATAATCCCAGACATATCCAGTGATGTTGATATCTGGACTTTGGGATGGACAGTCTGAGAATGCCAGACAGTTCTGAGAATGCCAGCAGCTTAATTGTTTGATTTGCACATTTTCTTCATTTTTTGTTTGTTTTCTTTTCTCAGTAATGGCTTCTTACTGTAGTGTTGAGTTACAAGTGGAGCTTGATTTGCTCCTATTTCTCAAAGATGAAAGCTTTAGGTACTGTTTGTCAGACATTGACAGTTTTGGTGGTCTACCAGGTCAGGGGTCTCATTTTCTCTATATATTGAAAAGAGATGTAATTATTTTAAAAACTTTTCACTTTCTTTCCTTTGACTTTCTCCTTCATTCTGCAAGGGGATTGTCTTATATGTAATCTCTTCAGAAATATCTCCTGACACATTTGTAACTTGTGCTTAATGGTTGTTTTGACTGGAAGTTTAATGAACGAAATGTGGTCTGTGACTTTTACACAGTACTCTTCATTACAGTGTCCAAGTATTTGTGTGTTTTCTAATTTTGTTTCTATTAGCTCTTCGTTTGACCACATTGTAAGTGATGCGTTAAATAATAATAGCAGTCGAAGTGGATGTTTCCTGCTTATTTTGTTTCCAATAGCTACAAGCGAGGAGGCTAATTTTACTTTCCTTGGTCACGTTTTTATGACCGTCACTCTAATACCAGCTTAGCAGATGAGCAAAAAAATATTATTAACTGGATAAAAGGTTGATTCTTACTGCAGCTATCACTGGAGTGAAACCCTGTCCTGACAGGCACTGTGCTGTGTTATGATCATAGCACTCTGATTTCATAAGAGCGTGTCCACGGTGTGTGAAAACAAACAAACGCACTCTGGGCACGCTTTTAGCTCTGTTTTCTAGAAGCTTCTGAGAAGACTTTAACCTTCATCACAATATCCTGTGTGATGAAAGTCAGTGTTCAGTAGGGGTGTAAAAAAGCATTGACGTGCATCAGTCTAAAGGTGGTGATTCAACTACATATATACACACATTTTTATTGACTATAATAATTGTCAATAAATTATAGGCTCATTTTTTGGCCAAAATAAGCCCTTTCAGCCATAAGGCTAACACAAAAACATGCCCATTTTTACCATTTAGTCTGCTTTTCTGCATTAATAACATGATGTCTCAGTACTGAATTAATTTGTCTCACAAGCTACCTTTTTGAACAAGCAAATACATAAATAGGAATTTAAGTCACACATCAGTTGTTCCATAACTCCTCTGGAAGCAGAATTAAAGGGGCCAGATTCTCTGAAAGGATCACTGGTGTAATGCTTGGCTCACTAGCAAAAAGTATAGTTCAGTGAAATATTAAGTTTACCAATTTTTAACTTACCCCAGATGTAGCTGATTAGCCAAGACATGTTTGCAGTCCAGATTTTGCTTCTTTAATTTAGATCTGGAGCTACAAAGCTAACATCACTATTAAACACTAGAACTCAATAGTCACCCAAATAACCCAAATAGTTTCTGTAGAAATACATCCATTAAACGTGTATCAAACTGCTCAAACCACATTCAGATCCTCATTTTGGATGCACAGACTTGTCAATATCTTTTTGTGGGCTATAATATCAGTATCACTGTGGGCTATAAAAATAAAAAAACTACACCTCTACAGGCAGCCATTTCGACCACACCAGGGCTGGTATTCACAAAGCAGTACTGATTTTGGATCAGTTTCCTCTAGATGTTTAAGATGGTCATTGTAAAAAATACTGATTCTAGATCAGCCCTTCTACTCCTCAGGAGGTTTGTGAACACAGACCTGTTGTCTAAAAAGGCTGCCCATAGTTTTGCTAATTTTTTTCACTCAGAGTAAGCCATACTGTGTCCTAAACCACATCGACAAGTCTTTGCTGCCCTAGTGAAGACTCACATCAAGTCCAGCCACTTTCAAATTTTAGGCTTTGTGATATATTGGTAATTTTTTTTCCTATCTAATCTAATGTGAGGTCAGCTTTATAGCCCTGTTGTTCGGCCTGTCGCTTACAAATGTGTGTGCTGTGATTGGCAGTCGAGCTCACCGCTGGGCGGGATGATAGACAGCATGTCTCAGAAATACCAGCAAATCAACCAGGCCTTTGAAGAGCTGCGGATTCTGACACAGGACACGGAGAACGACCTGCGCAAACTACAACACAACCAGGAGTACTTCATTATACAGTACCAGGAGAGTCTGCGAATACAAGGTACGCTTTCTTAAAACCTTTCACTTTTTAACTTCAAAAGTGGGGTGAGAAGTAGGAGTGCTGAGGGGGCTGCAGCACCCCACATTTCTCCATGTGTGTCACATAAATGCTGCTTAAAATTTCTGCACCCACAACCACCTTCCTGCATTCCTGATTCTAAGTTACTGTAACATGTGGGAAGTCATCTGTTCTTCTTTTTTCTGCTTTAAACTTGTAACTGCCCAGTTGTGTAATAGCCACATTTTTAACTTATTAACCGTGTTTTGGTGAAAAGTGGCTAGTTTAAGCAGTCAAAGCACTGGCGTTTCAGATGTTACACAAGGCTGCTTAGCTGTTTTCATTTCCTCTTTGAAATAGGACTTCACTGCAGACATTAAACTACTTTAAACTACTACAGTGCACCACAGGATAAAATAAGCTCAAGAAACAATCAGAATTCGATTTGACTTCGTGCTGATTCTTCAAAATATGCCTGAATCGGTTCTGACCCAGGCATGTTTTGTTATCTTACTGTCTTCTTACTTTATTGTCTTCTTATTGTCCTGTTTAGCACTGGCGTTTATTGTAATACAGTCTATTTCTTAATCTGTTATCATTTTGTTCCTTCTGACTCTTGGCTGCATTGCAAATGAGGATTCCCCTCAGTGTAAACCCAGGAGTTACATATACTTTTAAAAAAAGAATATGACACTGATATTTCAGATCAGGTCAGATCTTTACATCAAGCCTCAGTATGTCTTTATTTAGGTACTGTTTGAGAAAAAAAGTGTTATCTTAAATGTGTGAAAGTGCGGTTCACTAAACTGTATCATCCTGTGTATGTGTGTTTGTGCCTTGTAGCTCAGCTGACAAGCCTGGCCACGTTGCCTCCCGCTGACAGACAGCTGCGAGAGCCCAGTCTCCTCAGTAAGAGAGCTACTGTGGAAGCCTGGCTTACCAGAGAGGCCAACACCCTACAGAAATACAGACTGGTAAACATACACACACACACACAAACAAGGGATGGTTTGGCATTTAAACAATTTTCCACTACAGGCTGCTATGAGCTACAAGACTAAAGGAGATAACAAGTAATGGAAGCTAATGTGCCACCAGTTTAGTAAACTGCACTTGTATAATCTTAAATAGACTTGTGGTTTCGGACTCTGCGTGGCATACTGTTCAGGGATTCATCGAAGTTTCAGCCACTGACTGTTTTTGGCCGAAAATGGTCCAAATTGGCACTGCTGGTTTTTGTCCAAAAGAGAAAAAAAGCCTGAACATTATGGCCAAAAAAAGCAAAAAAATCTACAAATGAAAAGTCTACAATGAAATGTCTCATACTGGGGCCCAAACCAAATTAATCTCACTTTTTAAGTGAAAGAGTTTGATGCGGTACATAAACATTGCTAAAGTTTAGATATACCATGTACTCCCCAGTCCATACACTCAATACTGCATGCTATATAAATAAAGATGATAATAATAGTAATAATAATGATCATAATAATAATAATAATAATAATAATAATAATAGTTGCAGAGTTTGCAGATAAACAGTAAAACACAAACATGCTTCAGTGCAGCTGCATTTAATACATTCTTTAACTTACAGCATTAAATGATTTAATGAATTTCTTTAATGGAAATTGCACAAGTAATTCTGAGTAAGTCAGTATCTTGTGATAATAAACTGGTTTTGAAAGTTGTTACTGCAAACACTGATGTTTGTTTGTTAGATCCTGCTGGACTTTTAGAGGTTTATGGCTGGTTCTTCTCTAGCTGACGAACACTAAAGTGCCTCGTGTGCTAACGGTGTGTGCCCCCTGCTGGAGAAACTTAAGACTGCTAGACAGGAGTTCCAAAGCCCACCTGATTTACACATTAAGAAAGAGAGGTGTTTCGCGACGCTGTAGTGGAGTCGCTCTTGAATTCAGCTTAAGATGCCTTTGGGAAGCCACAAAGTATTATATTTTTCGTAACTTTACAACTTTCAGAATTTAATATTATTTGGCAAGCTGTTTAAAATAGTCTTCTGGTTAGTTCTCTCCCAAAATAGTGATGATTGCTTTTGACACATCAGCAATATTTTGTAAATTCAAGAGCATTCACAAAATGTTAAATATATTATATTTTAAGGAACCATTTCTTTCAGTTTTCGGTTTCAGTTTTTGGCTGAGTGTGTCCTGAGCCTTCTACTAATGCATTCTGGGTGCCTCACTGATACTGTTATCTATAATAATAGATTGAAAAAACAGACCAAAACTCAGCTTCAATGATGACTGCTGCTCCTGTTTTCAGCCTTGCAAAGTACTTTAGGTTATTTACATGTAAATGAAGGCATGGTTACAATATAACTGGTATTATATTACACAGACAAATAATGAAGCAAAATGCAAGAGTGGCTGTTTCTACCCTATAGGGAAGGCTTAACTGATGTATTAACATCATTTTTTGATCAAGAAAATGTCACAAGACATCTGCATAGCCATAATGGATCCAAAAGAGGAGCATGTCCATACCTGAAACACATCTCAGGAATCCTGGCCTAAAGCAGTTAGTGTTAAACCTTTTGCACACTTTTAACAGGGAGCTGTGTGGACAGGAAGGACAGGACGGTATGCACCACCAGCTAAAATGTGCTGAAGGCTGCCAGCAGTCTTATACATAGTTACAGTTGAGTTTATGTGCATTGGCGTGTGTGTCGAAAGCTCACTGGCTCTGTTGAGAATTTAATGAGACCACAGACAATGGATAATATCGTTTATGAGCAGGTGAAGGGTTTGTCTCTGCTGATAACGCTCTGCTCCTGCTTGATCATTGAGTGTGACATTTAAGCAATCATTGCTGCAGTGGATCTGTTCTTGGCTTCAGCACACAGGCGGGTGGCCGACTGTCTAAATTAAAGCCACTGTTTGAAACAGTGCCACCTTTCCTGAGCAGTGTAATGTAATAAGGATAAAGTGTGCTGTCACAGTCTTACAAAATGAGAGCAATTAGGGGACGCAAGCACACAGCAAAAGCAACTCAAACCCACACACACTTAAAAGGCATGTCTGATGTTCTGCAGATTATACTTTGCATGACAAGTGTGTTAAAGAGCTATGTTAATTGTTCACACTCAGGTTTCCATCCAGCTGTTGAACTAAATTCAAATGGATAGCTGAAATTATGAAAACAATTATGCAAATTAGCCAGGGTTTCCCTTAGCTCTGTCCAAGCAGTGACACAAGAAAGTGGTTTGAAATTTTAAGCGGCATATGGTCTTATGCAGACTTTATGTGTAACACAATCTTTTGTCTCATGTTTATCACAATCAAAACAATAATAATAATCAGCTTCACTTGATATCTGCTTATTTATGATTGGTGTGCCCATTTAAATATAATCAATCAGATCTTTGATGCTTGGCCAAAAATAACCTAAGCTCTGCAATCCATGTGCCAAAAGCAAACACGTATCTTCAATCATTTTTATTGCTCTTGTGTTATTATCAGTAGCTCCTTCTGAAAGAACGATATGAGCTGGAAGACATCTTGGAGGCAAGATGATGTACAGACAGAGACGAGATGGTGACTTCTTGAGACTGAGACTGGACACTAGTACTACAACACTAGCAATTGCATTGTGTACAAGACAATGTACAACACATCAGAGACATATGGGCAGGGTTTACAGAGAGATGTTTAATTTTGAGAAGCCTTCATAATACAGTGCTAATGAAGACCCTCCTTTCTCAGCTGCAGCTTTTGACATGCAGCTTGTGCCTGTCTACCGTCTATGACTATTATGTTTTTTCTATATAATAAAGGCACATTTTCATTTCTCATCAGTCCATTGATATCTACTGCCTTCTGTCATGTTTTGTAGCTTTGGCCAGGCAAAAACAAGAGTCATAATCAGTCATAGGACTTGTTTTATTTTCATTAATTTGTTCAGCATGAATGAGCGCACAAAATTTGTTTGTAAATTTTGGCTGTTTTGTTTAATATTTGTCATTTCCATCAAGTCCTTTTATTTGATATGCCAAACTGTGCTTAAAGTACATGGATGGAAACCCAGACAGTATCATGATGTGCCACATTTACAGCCATGATTTATCTGTATTTGTAGAAATAATAGACAATCTTTAAGACTCTAATATATATTTAAGAGCAACATAGGGTGAGTATGTATTTAAAAATATTCTGTGGTCAGTCTTCAGCCAGTAAGCATGCGTGTGTGTGTGTGTGTGTGTTCTCAGGGTCTGGCAGAGAAGCACCAGAAGACACTGGCCTTGTTGCGGAAACAGCAGACTGTGATTCTGGATGATGAGCTGATTCAGTGGAAGAGACGTCAGCAACTGGCTGGAAATGGAGGACCACCAGAAGGGGGACTGGACATTCTACAGTCATGGTATATATACCTGACCATACACGAACGATACAAACATAGAACATGCAGCTCAGGTGACTTGCCCATTTTGAAACACATGTACCCCAAGTAACACTTGTTCCGTATGAGTTACTGCAGGTGTATAAATGTGCAATATTTAGCTGCTGTTGGTGAAAAACTCGAACAGCTTTTATATCTAAATAATATTCTTCTCATCTGTGTGTGTGTCTTTATGTGTGTGTGTAGGTGTGAGAAGCTGGCAGAGACCATTTGGCAGAATCGACAGCAGATCAGACGGGCGGAGCATTTAAGACAGCAGCTGCCCATCCCTGGGCCCATAGAGGAGCTGCTCAATGATCTCAACAGCACCATCACCGACATCATCTCAACCCTCGTCACCAGGTCTGTGTGTGTGTTTGTGTTTGTTTTTGTACATTTTGAAGACAAGATGTTCTGAACCAGATAAACACAACACAAATCTATAAAATGAAGACCAAAAAAAAGATCCTGAATTCGTAAAGTGTTTTTTACAGTCACTCCATGTTTCATTTTCTTCAATAAATAAAAAAAGGACAAAAGCTTTTCTTTTTGGTTACTGATTTTACTTTATAGCCTTAGGTTCTTACATATATAATACACATGGGACATGTTATATATCGCTGCTGTTAGAACAAAACATATCTCCATTTTTGACGTTTTCCAGTTTTTGACAAAATTTGAAAATGCCTGTTGCCTTTTGAATTGTGTGTAAATTTTATGATAAATGGACCAACAGAAATGGCCACAATATACTTGGCAAAAAGCCTGGTTCCATTGACTTATATTGAAAGTATAGTGTGTTTTTCCTTCTTCTGTAAAGTTACTCTTTTGGAGATTTTGGAGGTTTTGTTCTGATGGCATATGTATAAATGGTGTCCATATTTTCGCGTATATTTAACAAGATGATAAACAGCACTTTTAACTCGGCGCATTTCATTTACAAACAAAACACAGTGCTGATGCTAGCAACATCAGTAATTCGGCAGACTACACTGGACAATGCTCACAGGAAAACTAAGGAAAACAAAGAAACAGCAAACTAACAAAATTAACTCCAATTCCCTTTGAAACAAGACGCAATGTAGCAACATGAGTGAAGAGTTTTAAAAAAGCTCTTAGTGGATGTTGGTGATGTTCACCTTGCGGTCATTCAGTTCAGTTTGCATATTATGAAAATATTGAGTTATTGAAAGTAATAAATACATTCTGATGAAGTTTATGTTGTCCATGCATATAGCCAGGAGCTGTGCGCTGCTTTTCAAGTGGAAAAATCTCTCTTTACAGTCAAATTTGAGGAACTAAGACAAGTGTAATCAGTCATGATTAACTACAGAAGAGAAAGTGTTTAACGGCATTTGTCTTGTTTCCTGAAATGTGGCCTGAAAGAAACTACATAAAAAGCAGTGCATTTTAATTTTATGGGACATATGTGCAGCAAAGTAAGTATATGTCCTGACAAGGTATAAAAACAAATGTGCTGTGTGTATATATGTCTGTGTGTGTCTGTATGTGTTTGTGTGTGTCTGTATGTGTTTGTGTGTTTGTGTGTGTGTTTGTGTGTGTGTGTGTGTGTGTGTGTGTGTGTGTGTGTGGGGGTGTGTGTGTGGGGGTGTGTGTGGGGGTGTTTCCTTCTCTCAACACTCACTATTTATATCCATGAGCCTGCATGTTTCAGAGACGACGAGCGGTTGGCTGTAGATGTGCAGCAGCAGATAATACTGGGCTTACTGAAGAAGAAGGACATCCTTTGCATGCAGATGTTTCAGCATTTCTGCCGAATCAGCATAACATATTTGTTTGACTCACGAATGACGGGTTTGTTGCTCAGGGTGCGAGAACAAAAACATTGTGCCATCGTAAATCAAGCCAGATCCACTCTGTCATATGGGACACGTGCAGCTAACTTTATTTTTGCCTTTGAGTTTCTACAAAAGCCCCAGAAGAGAAGAGCTGTCAGAGGGAACAGATTTAGTTGTACTCTATACTGAAGAGTGTTTGACCCACACTTTAATGTTCTTTGGAACAAGACTATGTTCCATCACAGCTATGGTACAAAGTGTTTAACCGCAGTGATGTTGTGACAGTGTGTCTGAAAGCCATAAATAACATTCTCGTAGAGGAAAATGCTGCCCATGCATTCCAGCAACGACAGATTTCAACATTTTCATTGTGCTTTCAAAGGCCTGAATACCCTTTCAAAACAGAATACATGTCTTTGTTGACCCAAAAGTAAGAAAATAGACAGAGAGAGAAGAAGATTTTTTGAAGGAACCACATTCTACATTTTCCTTTTAGTTTTTTCCCCCCTGTTATAATGTTGGTGTGGTTTCTTGAAACAGGAACAGTCATCCTTTAATTTTCCTTTCCTTCTCTTTATCCCTAACAATTTTTGTTACTGTGCCTTTAAGCAGTCCAGGCTGTAATGTACAAACTGTTTTGTTGATGTTCTCAGGGATACTGAAATATACAGGAATGCAGTAAAACATGAACTTCTGCCACTCCATTTGGATGTCTAGATCCTTTGGAAGGCTGCAATGATGCACTTGCTTCCCTACAGTCAGGAACAGCACAGGCAGCCTTGAAGTATCTTCCACTCCAGTGCTTTGCAGTTTTGACTTACAATGCCGTTGATGTACCTCTCCACCCTGCGTGTATTTAAAAAATACATTTAAGCCCCTTAGCTCACCTCAAAACTATCGTGAAACAGTATCTCAAGATCTCTGCAGATTTGTAACCATGTCAGGTAACAGTTTTTTTTAGCTTTTAGAGGTATTAAACACTTTGGATGTCTGGTTCCTGTCACCGCCACTGTAAACAGTTCTTACTTAGCAAGTTCAAACAACTATGACTGAATTTGATTACATCTTAACGATTGAATTATACAAAAATCTTGAACAGTTTTAAGCTGAGTAAACGGTCATATCTAACCTTGTTCGTACTTGTGACATCACAGACATCAAGTCTATATATACAACATAAACAAGTTTAGTGTTATATGTATTGGCTGTATGGGCTGAGGAGTGAACAGTGCATTTCGAAATATTACATTACATACATCAGACCTTTTTTATTTCAACACAGCAAAAAAAAATACCATGGCAGGTGAAATCGTCTTAGATGCAGTTCTATATAGCTAACATTTCCCATATAGAGATTATTGTAGGAATATTATAGAATTATTTAACTTATTTGTCAGTGTTCTCTTGATTTAAGCCATTTTGTCTAGAGCAACTGTCTCATTCTATTGAAAAATAACGTAGCTTATTTTAAGAAATGGTGCAAATCGTTTTGCTTTTTTTCAAGAAATAATGCTTGAAGTATGCACATTATGTGGCAATGTTATTTAAGATTCAATTACTGCAAAAAATTACTAAAATTACAATTAAATAAAATATGTATAGAAGTAAGTTAATTAATCTTATAATATTCTTTCAACAATCTCAAAATGAGAAATGTAAAAGATATTTTGACTAGATTTAAGGTTATTACCATGATATCATTTTTTGCAGTGAAACAAGACCAGCCAAGCCTAGTTACGCTAGGCCACCATGGCATTTATATAAAGTTGTAAAAAAAAAATAATAATTATAAAAATAGTGATCAGCAAATCAAAAATATTATTCCAGTTTACATTCTGGAACACTTACTAGCCACCAAGCAGCTGTGTTCTCACCTGGAACAGTGAAAAAGTAGCTAAATAAGGCTGCTTATAGAGCAAGACGAAGGAAGAATTCCAAGCGAGGCACAGTTTGTGCTTAAAAAAGGAAATTGAAGATACATGGTTACTCTGGCGGTTAAATGCAGTAAAGTACAACAAAACTGGGATAATCTTTTTACTCCACCTCCCATTCTCAGCCATCAACATGAAGCAAACCCATAGAATCAACTGTGCCCCCAATCATGTTCGTTTAGAGTTTGCCATCATTACCATGCAATGTCATGACTTCACTCTCTAGTGATGATTTAGACTATGTATTAAGTGGTATTAAGGCTCTTTTTTATTAAGGGGTATTAAAGTATTGCCTTACTTCATTATTTATATATATATATATATATATATATATATATATATATATATATATATATATATATATATATATATATATATATATATATATATATATATTATAAAAGTATGACATTACACTAACGCTGCTTTTAGAGATCAAAATACCTGATATAGCCTGCATGTTAGTACAGCACATTGCCTGTGTCCTTAAGCTTAGCTATAATTTCACAAGCTGTTAATAACAGTGAATAAGCTGCCTAATTTATCTCAAAATGGTTGTGCTTGCTTTCAGGAACCCATCTAAAACACTTAATTATCAAGAGAAGAGAGGGCTACAGTACTCATGTTCTATGTTCTACATATTTAAATTGACTAATGCAACTTTAAAGGAGCAGGAAAGATTTAAAAAAGCCAAAAAAGTGATCTTGCTTGAATAAACTAGTGTGAAAAGATCCATTAGAACTATACAAACCTTTTCTCGAAGGAATCGAATTACAAGCAGTAAGCATTACAGCAAAACATGAAGTATGCATATATGATTAATCAGTATGTGCTCATGTGTGAGGTGTGTGCATACTCCAGACCAGACAGCATTGAGGGTCTTCTAGAATGAGTAGTGTTTGACTAAGATAAAGCATTGGGAAGATGTCTCTGCTGTGCTGTGCTGCTCTGTAGTGTGTTGACGAGCCCACAATACACACTCTCTCTGCGTCCTGCTCTGTCCCAGGAGCATTATCTCATGTGCTCTATATCCATACACGCCACAGGGGGTGAATACGTGTATGCTGTGTGTGTGTGTGTGTGTGTGTGTGTGTGTGTGTGTGTGTGTGTTTGTGTGTGTGTGTCTGTGTGTGTGTGTGTGTGTGTGTGTGTGTGTGTTGCCTCAGGCCACTCAAGCGCTGTAGTATTGAGCTTAATGGGAGCCATGCTGCTTTTAAAAACCATCACTGTCTGAAGAGATATCCATCATGCATCATCTTCACTGGAGCTACAATTCTGTGTGTGTGTGTGTGTGTGTGTGTGTGTGTGTGTGTGTGTGTGTGTGTGTGTGTGTGTGTGAATCATCCGAATATAAATGTAAGCGGAAGCTGGTATAGATTAATCTACCTGTGCATTTAGTCGGAAGTTACTATTGAATGATGCACAGGAAGAACCATACGTGGAATCTGAACCAGTCAGCCATTTTTATGCTCTATTTTCAATGTTTCCATGTGGTCAAGAGGTGACGGGGAAAAAGAATAAAAAGAATGTGTGGCCATAATAAGGCATGATCTTTCCGATGCCTTACTAAGTCTTGGCCATAACTTAAGTACATCGTTCCCACGCCTTATTAAGTTGTGGCCACGTATTAGGCTCTTGTTCCCATGTATTAATGCGGTATGGCCATGCATTATTTTTATTTATGTGGGATGTCACCAGCAGGACTTTGTAGTTTTTCAAGGAAATGTACAGAGATATTTTTCCACACCTCCAAAGTTCAGTCTTAGAAGTTGGTTGCATTTTCTGTGTTTCATGATCCAGATAATTCCAAACACATACAGTGATGTTGAGGTCTGGACTCTGGATTTCTTTTTCTTAGTAACATATTATTGTCAGCTACACATCCTTTCAGACTCATAGAGTTCTCTACTCACAGTGAAAGGGAAGAAGCAAGAATGAAGCTTGAATTTTCTTCTCTCAAATATGAAAGCTTCAAGCATTGTATATCTGATCTAATTTTTTTTTTCCCTTGACTTTCCCTTCTTTACGTACATGGGTTATCTTATATCTAATCTCATTAATCTCTTCAGAAGTATTTCCTTAAAAATTAATAACATTTACTTAGAGGCAATTTTGACTGTTAATGAAGTAAATAAAAGGTGTTTTCTGACTATTTCAAATATTTTATTTAATAATTCACTTTTTTTACTATACTGTGATTATTGGAATATTTTAATTTCTTAAGATTTGATCCCCAGTGCTTGATATGAAGCATTATATTAATTTTGTCATAGATGTGAATGGTACTATAACCTTATTCTCAGTGCTCTTCGGTCTTATTAGTCATTAAGGTATCATCTACAACTTTGTCCACTATTTTGGACACATCTAAGATTTCTCACAGCTTCATACAATAATTGTTAAGTGTTTAGATCATATAAAAATTATCTGATACATGTATCTGCGACAGAGTAGCTTTTATAATATCAGAAGCATTGATTCCAAACTTTTGAATGATGATTCTCAATTTCTGAATGGCAGCGTATAATAATGTTTGTTCTTTTTCTCCTCAGCACCTTCATCATAGAGAAGCAGCCTCCTCAGGTGCTGAAGACACAGACGAAGTTTGCCGCTACAGTCCGTCTACTGGTGGGGGGGAAACTCAACGTCCACATGAACCCTCCTCAGGTCAAAGCTACCATCATCAGCGAGCAACAGGCCAAAGCACTGCTTAAAAATGAAAACACCAGGAAGTGAGTCTTAACACACACTTTTACAGCTTCACACAGTTCAGTGCTCTACTGTTGTGAAGATGTTGTTGTTGATGTGTCAGTCTAAATTACCTTAGCAACTAGGGCCTTATCGATATACCATTTGCCCATTAAAACTTGCTGATATAAGATTCCATGACTTAATTAACATGGATAGCATTGAATTTATTAAAGCACCAATATTGCCTTATTAAATGTTATATAAGAAAACCGTGTTCAGGATTGTGACGCTATTTTGAACAACCAATCAAAAATCTAATTTAAGACTTTACTTAATTTAAGACTCTGCTGTTTGTTTGAGTTTAAGAAATTTGACAAATTGACAGCCAACAGTCACTTTAACTAAAACTATGGTCTGTTTAACCTTTTAAATCCAATGAAGAAAAGTAGCCTACCATTTAATCTACTCTTCTTTATGATTTCTAAAGGCTGCTGTTGCGTATATTGAATATGTAAACAACATCATCTAACAATGCCAAAAAAAAGTTATTCATACTTCACTCTTCACTCTTGTTTAATTGGTACTCTGATTGTAATAAACACCCACTGATTCTAATTTTGTTCTGGATGTGTGTGCACGCTCGCTTCAAAGCTACTGCAGTGCATCCAGCAATAAAGGCTGCATGGAGCTTCTTTTATACTATAGAATTCAGAGTAGCACTGAGAAATTCCACACAGTGATTCTTTTTACCACAACTATGTGGACACGTACACATCGTAACTACTCTGCCTGCAGATTTAAATAGGGAGTGTATTAAGTTTGATAAGCTTGCACACGCTTGCAGACATACATACCAGCTGCTACACACCATGCAGACAAATATTCAAAAGAGCATTCGAATACTCTACAGCCCTCCAGCCATCAGTGCTAACATAACAAACACAGAGCAAATAAATATCTTGCTATTCTTTCTCACTTCTCTATTCTCCTTCTGGCTCCTACAATCTTGTTTAATTCCCAGTTGCTTTATATATTGAATGTTTCTTATGCATGAACTATCACTATAAGACACATAATGGGCAGTGTGGATTTACTGGTTGATTGGTAGATTTGGATCACCATTATCTATGCCAAAGGCAACAGCTATTCATCTTGGCATCCACATAAATAAACAATCATAAAGCATTGCATAGAAAAATACAGCTGCCATTTACCTCATTTGACCTTTCAACCCATCCATAATAGTCCAGGCTGAAGCCTAGCTGCTTGCGCACTTTATGTTGCTATGATAGAATCTGTGATCATAGCCTTTTCATTCAAATACAGCTTTTAAATGGCTTTTAAAGTGATACCTTCATGCCCTTCAGTAGGCTTAGCTGGACAGTGCTCACAGAATACATATGGATGAATTAATAATTAGCAAACTAACAAAAGCATCAGCAAAGTGGAACACTAGAGTTCCCTTTTAGAGCCTCAGCTGTAACAAGAATCCACAAGCTGTGTGAACGAGAACAAGAGACTACAGTCGTGGAGCCTCTAATGAGTTCTAATTAGTAAATTCAGTTACTTTAAGGTACACCGATTGCCGTCACAGGCTTTCAATAGCGCTCACACAGCTTGTATAATCTGCATAAAAAGCATTTGCTATAGAATGGGATGTTCTGGAACATCTGCACATGAGCCTAAGATCACCATTCCAGATGCTGAGTGTTGAATAGAAGTGTAAAGCCCTCCAGCATTGGGCTTTGGAGCAGTGGAACTGTGTTCTCTGGAGTGATGGAGCTCCATCCAGTACCTTTGGGATGAGTGATCATCCAACATCAGCACCTGACCTTACTAATGCTTTTGTGGCTGAATGCAATCAGACCCTAACAGCAATGTTCCAACATCTAGTGTAAAGCCTTCCCAGAAGAGTAGAGGCTGTTACTGCAGCAAAGGGAGTACACCCTATTAATACCTGTGATTTTAGAAGAAATGTTGGATGAGCAGGTGCCTACAAGCTTTTGGACATACAGTGTGTGATACATGCGGTCATTGCTTGGAACATTCAGCCACTGTTGCTTTGACTGAATGTCAGTGAACAAAGTTGTATTCACTCTGTTGAAATCATGTTGAGATTCCTGTGAGCCCTGCTTTGTTTAGAGTCAAGTTTAAGCAAATAAGATTTATTATAATTATTTTATTAGAATGTATTATAATTATTTTAATTGGTTCATGATTATTTTTAATCGACAGACTTATACAGAATATAATGTGACTGCGAATGTGAATTACTATGTATTAATAGTGCTGTTTAAACTGCACAGTATAACATGAGAACTGAGGTGAGGAACAGAATTTTGGTCAAATGTCATTTTCCTGTGAACCTACAGGATAAAGTTCAGCTCAGATTGAAGTCTCCCCACCTGCAGGCTGCAAATATCTTATCTCTGTGTGGAGCCTCTTTGGTTTCCCCTAAAGGAAGAAAGCGGCGAGCACAAAGCTTTCTCTGCCATATGCTAACTTTGATTTAGACAAAAATTGTGGCTTGCTAGTTTGAACAGTTGAAACGTGGCCTGATCTCTCCTGTAGCACCACAAATTTCTCTAAATTCACAGCAGCATTGGGCTCTAGCTCAGTGCAGGTGAGGGCACAGTAATTTTAAAATAGCCTGAGGGACACTGGGTGAGAGTGCTTTTGTGGCACCCAGCTCCAGTACAAGGTGAAGATATCTGTATTCTGAATAGTCTTTATAAAATGTTTAGTCTCCATTATGGACACGTAAAAAACCCTGAATGTACTAGCAGCAAATGCAGAGTCTGGCAAACATTACAATTATTGCACTGTGATTTAGACTCGTTTCAGGATATGTTCAGCTAGATGACCTTTGTTTCCATGTAGCACCTTGTTTTCCGAGTTAGTGTCCTGCTCCAGTAAGCAACAGTAAGGTCAGCATAGTTTGACACTGGAATGAAGCAGTTCCATGCTGCTTGAGTAGGGGAGAGGCTGGGGGTGGGGCCACAGCTGCAAAGACTGAGAATGCTGCCTCAGTTGGAGTACTGTGCCCATTAGCTTCACATTCCATTCAAATTGTATACACAATATATACGCTTATGTTTGTTGACGTGTTGAACACTTGTTGTCCTAACTCGATTGGGTCTGGCTAAGACCAGAATACTGAGGTGTAAGTAGTAATACTATAGCAATGTGTTGCATTTGCCTTCCATGATTGGAAATACCACATTTTTTCCATATTCAGGAACCTGTGAGTGCACACTTGTGACACACACAACCTCACAACTATTAAATTCTGTATTCATGTGTCATTGTGTGACTAGCATGGACCATTGGGCAAATTGATAGATTGGAGGAGATATCAGCATGTATATGACATAAAAGACCTGAAACGGTTCGAAACAAAGCCCATACAGTTTTGTTATAATCAGTTTTGTTTTTTAACATCTAGGACTAGGCTCGTCAACTTACAGGCCAACTCAAAGGCTAGCAGAATCCTCTACTGATAATCAGTATTAGGATTTTTAATGTTGTATTTTCTGAAGGATTCACTTTAAATGTCCATGTAGTAAAACAGTGTGGGAAAACAAATGTGTGGCACTGTTAGTTTGGTGCTAATACACCATGGGAAATTACAAAATGATGGAAGCGCTACGATCATTAGCATGATAGTTGCAGTAGTAAATCAGTAAGAAATATTACTTATAAAGCAAAAGTGTCTGCATTAAACACTGCTATATTATGAAAGATTTACGACAACACAAAAATTGTAAACGTTATGACTGCAGTATATTTGCCATGTTCTAAATGGTCCCCTAAACACTACTACATTCGAAAATCTGGATCACTGTATAGAATGCTGTTATATGGTACAAAATTTGTGATGTTGGGAAACCATTTCAGAAACTAACGTTACTACTCAGAAATTACTCATTACAAAAATAGCAGTGCATTATGGGTATATCCTATCCACTAGGGTACAATGCCACTTGAGTGGCCATATATATATATATATATATATATATACTCATAACAAACATTTGATAGGTGTGTGATAAAGGCCAGTTCATCTCCTACTGATGCACAGTAGGTAGAATGCTTGAAGAAAGACAGCAGACTCTTTCTATCCCTGTACCTCTCTTTCTCTCTCTCTCTCTCTCTCTCTCTCTCTCTCTGTTTGCCACTCACATTCAGCTACTGAATATGGTGTTTTTTTAGCTCTCAGCATTTAGCATGTATGGAAAGTATGACACAAACATTTTATATTAAATCAATCTGCGTAAATCTCTTTCATGTCCGGGTAAGACGTTCTCTCTGTTTCCCTCAGTGACAGTAGTGGAGAAATCCTGAATAATAACTGCGTGATGGAGTATCACCAAACCACAGGCACTCTGAGCGCACACTTCAGGAACATGGTGAGTGACATGCACATTTCTGAGTGCACGCTTACACAAACTGCACAAAAAAAGTGATGTAAAATGACTGTAAATGTAAATGATTTGATATAATTGTGTGCATCATTTGCACATTAATAAAATATGTTACTTCATTACAGTTTTGTCTTACATTTTACTTACTTTTGGCAGTAACGGTGTTGATGTGATGTATTTTATTCATTCACAAAGATTAGAATCAAGCAAATTCAGTAAATTACTTTTTTCAGTGTAGGTGCACCATAAGCTCCTTTTGGTGAAGTGGATACTTCCGGCCAGTCACTCCATGCTGGGAAGGTGTAGGCCGTACGTGCTGTTCCTCTGTAATTAACTGCCTCTGTATTATACAAAGCTATCACAAAAGAATGTTCCAAAGCAGAAATTGAACTGAGTTAAGGCTGATTGTGTTAGATAGCTGAGTTAGGGCAGATCTGGTTAGAGATGAAGTGGACTGAGGCGGACTGGAATGTAAGCCATTCTGCCGTGGAGGTTCCATTTTCAATTATGCATTCCTCACAAGCCCCAGAATTAAACGGGGTCTTCCCAGGCCACTGCACGTCAGCTCATCATCATCAGCCACAGTGATACACCCCATTAAAATCCACTCCCTGAGGGTAACTAACCATTTCCTTTGCCTCCATCTCTCCTTCTCTCCTCTCTCCTCTGTAGTCTCTGAAGAGGATCAAGCGTTCAGACCGCCGAGGGGCAGAGTCTGTAACCGAGGAAAAGTTCACCATCTTGTTTGAGTCACAGTTTAGTGTTGGGGGCAATGAGCTAGTTTTTCAGGTCAAGGTAAACTGGAACAACATGTATTATAATTATCATACTACAGTACTACATAAAAGTCAGAGATGACCCTTGATGTATCAGAACAGTCATTAAGTGCAAGTTATTCATTTTTCATATTTTTCAATATTTCTGAGGAAATTAGATATTAGATATATTAGAAATATTGAAAGCTACAGAGAAAATAGGATTCCTAACAACCACCTACAAGACCTGGTATACCACCAAAACTGTCACCATTAAAGAGAGAAGAAAATCAAGCAAAAAAAACAAGAAGGAAGCTGTTGCTGTTCTTAGAACATTGGACTGGCCACCCCAGAGTACAGACCTCAACATCACTGAGTGTGTTTTGGATTGCTTAAATTGTGAGCAGCAAAAAGTTTAAATAACTTCCAAGACTGAACTTCAGAGATGTGGAAAATACTTCCTGCAGATTCCTTTGAAAGATAAAAGCAAATCTTCTGAAAAGAATGGAGGCTGTAATAAGGGTGGACACTTTAAATACTGGAAAAATATTTAGTTGTTATGGCTTCTGTTTATTTTTCTGTTAAATTTGTTTTCTGCTTTCAGTTTCTTTTTTTTCTTATCGTAAAAGATGAATAACTTATGGCCGTACTGAGAATTCAATAAATGAAGGGTGATCTCTGACTTTTGCTTAGTTCTGTTATGCAGTTATGCAACTTCCTAGCACTTCAAAATGGCCACATACACACTTCTGACTTCTCATACACTCGTCGTTCAGCTGAACAGTTAACCTATCCCTGCTCCACCAACAAATGCATTCTTTTGTAGCATCTGTTGCTTCATAGTTGGATAAGTTTTACAGAAGCCTGACAAATGTTCCATTCAACTTAAAGAGAAATTCTAGTGATCTTTGTTTAGAGTCATAATACATACATAACATAGCTCATCAAAACCAGGCAGGTTGGAAACAATAAATTGGCCAACAGGCAATTTTAATTGAATTGCACAAGAAGAAAACTGTACTCAATCTGTGCCAGCAGTATAAACTTTTTCTTTTTTTTTGTAAAGTATGTCTATCATAGCAACAGTTGCTACCACAGGCCACATCTGTGGGCAGAGCATGAATAGGTCAGTTAGGATGATGTGAACAGTCATTTACAGTTATATCTTGTTTCTTCCCCTTTGCTTTAATCCCTGTGGTCTTTCTCAGACGCTATCCTTGCCTGTAGTGGTGATTGTCCATGGAAGTCAAGATAACAATGCTACAGCTACAGTCCTGTGGGACAATGCTTTTGCTGAACCGGTGAGTTTTTGGAGAACATTAAAGCATTGCCCCTCAGAGTCACTCCAAAAATTATTTTTATCCAGTAGCTATGCCTGAGTGACTCAGAGGAATAGCAAAATGTTCTAGGTCAGAATGACTCTGGGCATGTTTAGTCATCATCGAGTGGTTGCAAACAAACATGAACCCATTAAGCAGGAACAACAATTGTACCTCAATTATAAATATTTTCTCTAATATTGAATTTTCAGTTCGTTTCATTTTTTAGTGTGGTTTTTTTTTTTGTACATTGACACAGCTCTCTGTCTGCATGTTTTACACTGAAATGATTCTTTGATTTGATGTGGTTAAAAATGATTGAACATGAAAAAAATGTATTACACAAACAAAATTACTGCCAAAACAAGTAAACTTAAAGAAAGTGACTGTGTTGTTGATGTGCATTTTCCTTGTGTGCCACATCTTGACACTATTGAATCACGAACCATTTTATTCAGTGTAGTGTATGTAATATTTGTTTGACATGAAGAATTGGAAGAAGATCCAATGTAATCAATTGTGTAACACATGTAATTAATATGTAGTTATGTAATTGTGTATGAAATACATAGCAAAGCAAAAATAATAACTCTTCTAAGGGCTGACCACCACTGACAGTATCTGTATTATAAAAGTGGCACTGATATCTTCATCTATAATTCTTACAAACACTAAATAATATACATGTACTCTTCATATAGCTGCTGTTGGAACAAAACCTTGTCTCCAAAAAAGTAACTTTATAGGAGAGGAAAAAACACTCTTAACTTTCAATGTGGGTTAGTGTAAAGAGATTTCATTCAAAGTCATTTCAGAGAATTTCTGTTAGGATGTTCATTGTGAAATTTTGACACAGCGTTAATGATGATTTCAAATTATGCAAAAAAGTAAAAAATACCAAAAACGGAGATACAACATTTTGTTGTGACAGCGACAACATGATATGAAGTTGACTGAAAACAAGTACTTTTTCTGCTGAACTTTGTGCCCTCTAGTCATCATCATAGTAAGAGACTGTCTTTTCAAACATTTTCTTATCTGTAGAAAATGTACTTACCTTTTGTACTTGAAAATTATAAACCATCCCAAAAACCTGCTGCAAGTATAAAACATGCATATTTTCAGCTCTAGCACTTTGTAACCTTCACTCTTTATAATGGCAAACTGACACATTTCATGCTGTGATTCACTCTTTTGGATTGTCCCTTTCTGCAGACAGACAGGATGTGCTCTGCTGATTCTCTTCAATAGATGATTCTGATAATGAGTCATGGTCAGGATCTACACTGCAAAAAAGCTCTTAACTCCAATTGCTTAGTTGTTAATTTTCTCAAATAGAAAAAGGAAATGCATTGGAAAAATACTCAATGTTGGAAAATAACCGTTTTTATCCTTTGGAAACAAGTTTGAAAACAAGCTTGTTGTCTTGAACTTGACTGAACCAAGCATGTGTTAATATCAGTAAGAACAAATTTACCCCCAAAGTGATCTTGTAGGCCCATATCCTACAATTTTCTTGTATTTTATTAGGTCCATGTATAACATTTATGTGCTGTATGTGGATACATGGAAATGCATTGGTTCTTGTGACATCACAGAAACAATTCATTCAAAATGGGCTGTTAACTAAACTGAAACTAACAATGTTTAACCTACATATTACTTTTTTAAGTGAGGAAAATGTAGTTTTCCATGATTTGGACTCTTTAATTTATTAGCACACGTGATCATTGTCATAAATGTAGGTATGTTTGGAACAGATGTAGCAGTGGTTACATTTTTCATTCCATTTTTAATGCACAATTTTTGTATATAAGAGGAATGAGTGATGAACATTTTCAAAAAATGAAAAAAGAACCATGTAATGTAATATATTATATTACACAATGAAAAAAATTCTAAGGGTGTAACAATTTTGATACAGTGTTGAATACGGTGTTGAGTACAGACCTCATTTTCTTCAAACACTCTCTCATTCTTGGAAACCACTATCAGTAATCAAATCTAAGCATCTGGATGCATCCAGTCTATTGTTGAATTGATTATAGAACAAACCAGCTGTCTGGTATACAGTTAGAGCTCTGTAAAACCAAGACATTTTGACACCTAAAATATTGAAAATGTAATTGAATATTGGCCTCAAAATCAAACAAAGTTCTTGTCACAGATAAATAAAAAACTATATATTGTTACACTCCTTAAAGGTTCTATACCAAGGTTTTTATCCTAGTAAGGTACATTCAAGCCAGGAACCATACAGGAACCTTCATTTTTAAGGGTATAGAGAACAAAGAATGTAAAAGAAAACCGGTAATTGTACTTAAGTCCTAATTCTGATGTTTCCTTTTGCAGGGCCGGGTACCTTTCATAGTGCCAGATAAGGTGCTGTGGCCACAGCTGTGTGATGCTCTCAATATGAAGTACAGGGCGGAGGTGCAGTCAAACAGAGGCTTATCTGAGGAGAACCTGGTGTTCCTCGCTCAGAAAGCCTTCAGCAGCTCCAGCTCCAACCCTGAGGACTACCGCAGCATGACTATGACCTGGTCCCAGTTTAACAGGGTAAGAGGCTTTGAGTGACTACACTAACTACTGTTTAATGTGGCTTGGAGGGCAGCACAAACTATCGATTGTTAAATGCGATGTTGGTCTTTGAAATGTTCTTACCTCTCTGAGCAGAGCCTTTCCACTGCTATTAGTGATTAGTGAGTTTTTCAAAAATAACAAAAAATTTAAACATCATAATGTGACCTTTTCTTTCCAGTGTTGTTCAGCCCTAACACTTTGTTTGTTATTTCCTGAACACACAAGTCTAATCTTAATGTGAAATCTAAGACAGGTTTATTGAGGTTATTTAAGGTCATCAGTTGGTGACCTTGCATTGATGAGTAGTTTCATAATCATTATCTTGACTTAACTGCTGTTTTGTTGTAAGACTTTATAGTTTACATACCTTTTATCATTATGAGTTTATTATTAGCCTTTAAAGTGCAATATGCAGTTCAACACTACCCTCAGACCATGCCAACAAAAGCATGGTTATAAATGACTGTGGTCACCCTAGAGCAGAGGTTTTAAACCACAGTGAGCAGGGGGAGGTAGTAGCCTAATTTATGAAATCCAATAAATAAATATGATTGTAATAGTTTTTTTGTTGTTGTTGTTGTTTTTTCTATAAACATATTTTCTGTCATTTTAAATATGTATCAGCCTCCATCACGTCTCTATATGGCATTGTGTGTATGTATGTGTAGATTGCTGTTGGATGTTTTCAGTTGATAGCTATCATAAGTTATGAAATACTGACAACATTAATACACTCTTTATTGGGGCTGCAAGCCCAGAAAACCGCAGATTGAATACAAAAACCAAAAAAAAAAATCATTCAATTGAAAATGTGATGGCAGCTATATAAGAGACAGATTCATCTCCACTGGGGAGGCTAATACCGCAAAACCATAGTGCGTGGTGGTATGTGGGGAGAAGCTAATGAATGAAGCTATGAAACCATCCAGTTACTTCTCCATTTCGAGATGAAACATTCCTTGATAATAATGACCTTAGGCTAATCTTGCATCCCCCAACCTCGAACTCCACCAGTCCGTCAAAACTGTTGTGGGCTGCGGTTCAGTCGTCCCTGTTAAAAAGTTTGGGAAACCTTTCTCTAGAGGATTTAATATTCTAGGTGACTGCTATTCCAAGAGGTATCCTGAGTGGTCTGTGGGGGACACTATAAAGCAAAGGGTCCATTAGACCATAGATTAAGTTGATTTAATCTATGGACTTATGGGCCATGATTTAGTTCTGCCCACTTAGATTTTGGTCAATTTGCATAAAAAAATATGTTAAAACAAGCAGCTGCCAGACCATCACAACTTTGGTCATGAGAGTTTAATAAATGTATCAAAATAGTTTAGTCGTAGAGCATATTTACATCAGTCCTCTCCAAACCTCACAGTATTGAGCCAGTATATCTTCACTGCCATAACTAAACCTCTTACCTCCAATGCAGTAACTTTATAGGAGAAAATAATCATTCTTAACTTTAATGTATTTTAATGTAATACACCAGACATTCACTTTTATGGCTTTCTGATTCGAATTCTCATTTCTTTACAGCCATACTGGATGATGACCGATTTTTTTTTTATTTTTTATCCAGTGCTCATACTGTGTGGGCTAATTGAACATTTGAAACACACTAGCACATTTCCAGCCCTTATTATTATCCAAACTTGCAATACAAATAATATTATTTGCTCTTGAATGGGTCTCTTGAATTTATAGATCTGCCAAAATTAAAAACAAGACAATTCACATTTTGAGCAAAATTCTGTTCGATTGTGTTCCAAGATTGTATTCCAAGTCATTCTGGACCGCTTCTTTTGATCCCTTCATCATGCAGTGTTTACACAATGAAAACACTGCTGTTTATTTTTTTTTTTAAATAAGGGCAATATAGGCCTGATTTTTACAAAACAGCTCAAAATCATGAGTCCTCAGGCTGATCTTCGCATACCTGCCTAGTAACATTGTCTGTCTCACTTTGCCTTGAGCGTAAGCACACACCTTAACCATTGTGCTCTCTGTCACTGTTAACCACAGTTTGTTAGAGGTGCCTCCAGTGTTAGAGCAATGCAGTAGGGCTACTTCCATATCCAGTACATATGCAGTGCTTCTGTATTTTCCTCAAACTTGGGAAGCTAATCCTCTGTGTGCCATAAATGAACTGAAGCAAATTTTACATTGTTCTGTTGATAGTTGGTGGTGTAAACGTCCACCAGAATGAAAAACACTCAAAAAAGAAACAAGTTGAAACATGTTTTCTCAGTTGAAAACTTTGACAGCGCAGGATCAGCTCTTGTCCAAAAAGGCAAGTGCAGCAGTGACCATTCCATGAGCACGACCCTTGCTGTGACCTGGGTCCTATTACCCAACAACAGTGCAATTCCCTGCTGGCCGTTTCAGAAACAGCTTAATCCTAAACTACACTCACCCGTTTGAAGCTCCTAATATTAGCATTCATATATTAGTAATTTTTCTACCTCAGCAAGCATGCAGTGCATGCTGGCCAGGCTGATCAACAGTCTGCCGTCCATTAAAGTGGTTTATGATTACCGAGTGTGGGAGCTTTGATGGTGCAGGTTTAGATATGCAGACCTAAGGCGGTGCTTGCCTTTGAAACGGCCTCGTGCTGTTTCGGTACACCGAACATGCAGTGCTCAGACAGAGACTTGTGTAATTCATGCACAGCTCTGGGTGGGTTTTTTTCTATTGACACATTTCAAAGTCAAGGTCCAAAATGCCTGCCAACAGAACTGTTGTATGTTTAGCATTATGTTTTAGTAGGGTAGTCTGTATATCTGATATCTGAAATATCTGAGATATTTACAAAGCATAGCATTTACATTTGTATTCATATACACTGTAAAAATTGCTCATCAGATCAACCTAAAAAAATTACTTCATGTAGTAAGAAGCAATTAAACTAGTTTTGTTCAACTCTTTGTTCAACAGTGTACAGTCATATGCAAAAGTTTGGAAGCCCTGGTCAGTTGACATTTTCTAAGTCATAAGTTAACACATCCCCTACAGAAAACACATTTCTGAACATTTTAATACATAATTGATGTGTATTTGCTGAATTTAATGTATTGAGAAAAAATATAAAATATAAAATGTGGCCTGTGCAAAGGCAGTGGCATTTTATATGTATGTTTTTTTATCAATATGTTTAACTCAGCAAATAAATAGAAGTTGTGCACTGAAACTTACTGGAAAAATTCCATATTTAGGTGTGTTCCCTGTAGAGGATATGTTAACACCAGGGATGTTCAAACTTTTGCATACAAATGTATATTTTCTCCTTTTAAAAATGAGAGAATCTTCATACAGCTATATAGGTGGACAAAATAAGCCTCATTACAATATAGTTTTTACTTTCAGAAATTTATTAACTGTAACTTTTCGTGAACTGAACATGAAAATCATGTGATTTCCATAGTGTGAACAGGGGTGGTCTTTGCACTAAATAAAGGTAAGCCACCACCCATGAGCCAAGGACCCCAAGAGAATACAAACTAGTTATACTGTATGTGTTAATGTTCAACAACCTATTCTAATATATATATATATATATATATATATATATATATATACAAGGTTTGTCGCTTCATTCCCAGAGCTAACATCATTTTTAGCATAATGCCTATATAGTGAGATAATTTCACTTAATAAAATGTCTAGAATGAAGTTAATTCATCTTAGAATATTCTTAGAACAATCTTAAAATGAGAAATATTAGATAAATCAACTAGATTTAAGAAGATTTGCTAAGATATAATTTTTGCACTGAAGCTCCAACTAATTTAAAAATGCTTTACCTAGAGCCCCAGAACCACCCAAGATTAAACACAGTTTTTCTGTCCAGTGATAGTAATTAGCATGATTATTCAATATTATTAATGAATTGTTATTCAGTTTAATTGATATGCGCTTCTGAATTTCAGATGTTCTGTGCACAGGATGTATACGCTATTTATGCATATTTACAGAAGCCACCAGTGTGAGTGTGAGGTCTGGACACTGTGTTCCGTGCGAGAGTCAGAGAGACAGACAGAAAGAGAAACAGAGAGAGACAGAGAGTGCTTAATGTCCTCACTCTTGTGTTGTGACTTCTACCCTAGATCACTGATTAAAAGTGAGTGAACATCAGAAAGAGGGATATGCCCTCGTGTAGCCAGTAGTCATGCCTGTGTTTCATAAGCTTCAAACTTCACTTTATGCCCCCTATACACACACCCACACCCACACAATGATGTATTCCTATCTTTGTGGGGTATTCTTAATGACTACTGTGTTAGTGCAGTTCTTTCTTGTATTCCACTCATAATATTTCTTTGGTTTAAAGTGTCATTCATTTTCCCATGACCATTTTCCAACCACTCTTCATTCCTTAGAAGTAAACAGGTTGTTTTTTAAGATTGATGTCAATGAGCTTGGTTCTGATAGGATGCCCTGTGTTGTTACTTTTTTCAAAAAGAAGGCTGGCCTGAAACACTCCTTGTGACAGAATGTCACAGAATGCCAAATGTGTTGGGTTTTATGACATCACAAAAACAGTAAATTCAAAACGGCTGTTTTTGAAGCTTACTTTTCATGTATGAACTGTATGGACTGGGGAGTAAGCAGCATGTTTTAAAGAATGTAACATTTACTTATCAAACATTTACTTTACAAAAGTGTGGAGAGTTTGATACCACATGAAATGCGTCCTTTTAGCAACAAAATATTTTGGCTCTTTTACGTTTTCGAGTGAAAACCCTTTTCCTGGAACTGTTTTTCTCATAGGGACCAGATAGAAGGCCCAACATTAAAAACATTCATGTTTTCCATGATCTTTGGGACATCTGGGGACTAAGAGCTAAATACCACACACAGCAGGCTCTTACATGTGCACACTCTGTTCATGCTCAGAGAACATTAGGACTTATTAAGCATTAATAAAGCCCTCATAAGTGTATAAATGTGTTTGTCCCCAGGAGAGCCTGCCAGGCAGGAACTTCACGTTCTGGCAGTGGTTTGACGGTGTCATGGAGCTCACTAAAAAACACCTGAAGCCTCACTGGAACGATGGGTAGGAAAGTTTGTTTTTATTCAAATGTGTACATAATTTCTGCATATCACTGCTGTCTTATCAAAGCCTTAATCTTATGGTATTTATTTATTTTTCATTTGAATATGATTGGTCTTCATATTGTGTAAACATTTCATGATGTATGAACAATAGAGACGTCTCAAAATGACTTAAAAGTTAAGACAGTTTTATCCCTCTGCAAATTTGCCATTTTGGGGATTCAAGTTTTTTTTTTGTTATGACTGTGACTATACGTCACATCAACACAAATATCGCTAAAATAAATAAACTGAAAGACAAAATTGTGTTGCTGTAATTATCTTTATGCACACAAAGAAAATTAAATACATCAATTCAACGATAGCATCATATTTACCAAATATAGCCTGAACGTGGCCAGAGATGACCGATCAGTGAGAGGTTATGAAAGACTGGCAGGCTGACAGGGAATGAATGAATAATTGAAAGAATGAATGAAGGAATTAGGAGGTGCATAAAGTAAGCTAAAGGTAATTTCCTTATTTGCTTACATTGTGAGTACTCTGAGCTTTTGAGAATGGAAGCTACCGAGAACGGTAAATTCTGTTTGTACAGCAATAATGATTGGCTTAGTTCTTACACAAGAGATGGCAGAGTTCAGTCAGTTTACATTAACTCCTCATTGAGCAACTTGCTCTCTAACCTAGCCTTCATGCAGTGCAGTCTCTCTCAGGACAGGCAGGGCTACACATGGGAGTAATTTGCATTGCTAATAAACTGCTAATGCCTTAGTCAAGATGATCATGCCACTAGGTAATTACTGCATCCACAGGCATCTGCTTGTATCAGACGCTAGTAACTGCATTAATTACCAGTTTGTTGCATTATTTTAACACAACTCTCTTGTGTCATATTCATTTTCAAAACTGTGGTTTATTTGAGTGCTTAATATGCAGTGATTGATGAAACCTGTAAACAGAGCTTTTAGTTCTATTACATGTAAATGGATCTAATGTACTGCTAATGCATCGCAAATGGCTTTTCATACACATAAACACATAAAAAGCTTTCAGGTTTATATATATATATATATATATATATATATATATATATATATATATATATATGTGTGTGTGTGTGTGTGTGTGTGTGTGTGTGTATAAAATCTCAAGGCTTTAGAAACAACCCAAAAATGGAAATCTTGCTGAATACCTCTTAAAGTGATGCTAGGTTTTTTTTCTCTCCTCTTTAAAAGCAGTAGTTCTTGTGGAGAATATTTTGTCCTGCCAACAGTAAATGATTGCTGGAAGTGTCATAGTGCAAACAGTACAACTAACTGCAATGAGCATAAGGAGCTGATTAGCTACTGTAAGTGTGTACATAGAAATACTGGCAATAGCGCCTTAAAAACAGCCTTATTGGACATAAAAGGTAGTTAACCCTTGGTAGTCTAAATTGATCAGCATTTTGCCATGCAGTTTACAGTACATAATTATTTGAATATAATTACATGACTAATTACATAACAGTTAATAATAATAAATTGTACAGTTACATTCAGTTTACATTCTTTATCACCAGGATCGACTCTGGGCGGAGCTTTCTAGCATTCTCCACACGTTTTGTTAGTTTCTGTTAATTAGCTGTAGATCTTCATCTGCAGTTCCTTTCACATAAATTGATTTCACACATTATTCCTACCCTAAAGATATGTTTCAATACATTTACAGTTTGTTGTAATTCATCCCATAGTGTTTTATCACAAGAGATGTTACTGTCAGCTTTAAAGAATGGCATAAGTGCATGCAACTGCTATAATGTTTTTTGTGTATTGTGTGCTGTTATTTACATTTATTTATTTATTTATTTATTTATTTAGATATTGTATATAATGTGATGATTGGCGCCAACCTATATCTCCTTCAATCAATCTCTGTGTCTCTCCTCAGTCATTCTTGATCACTCACTTACATATTGATTATATCTGTACTTCTCAATATTGTATTGGTTTTTTTTGTGTTTATATGTTCATATTAGGGCTATCCTGGGCTTTGTGAATAAGCAGCAGGCTCAGGACATGCTGATGTCCAAACCTAACGGAACGTTCCTGTTGCGATTCAGTGACTCAGAGATAGGGGGCATCACCATCGCATGGGTGGCAGAAAACCCTAACAAAGCAGGTACTGCCCAACACTCCTGTCACTGTTAGCTCGTTTTCACACTTGGCCTAATTACTTGAGTCTACACCCAGGATTGATTCAGGGTTTGGTTGGGTGAAGTGGCTCATGATCAAAGGTTTGTTTCACACAAGAGAAGTCCCTTCAGATCTGTGGATCACTTGCGTGATTGCAGAAAGAATAGCTCTGATTGCCGGTCATGTGGTGTGTTTCTCCAACACCTGCCAACACCATGTCTTTTCTTATTGAGAACATTTTAAGTGAAATTTGTATGAAGCTCTCAGCACTTCACATTTAATCAAACAAAATTATATTTAATTACAAGATTGTGCATTTACTGAAGAAAAAATATGACAGTAATTCATTCACATTGTGCATCTACAGAAAAGAATATTATTTGGTCCAACCTGTATAAATAACAAAGCACTTGAAATGCCAAAACATAAGCAAGCTAGTGTCGCCATTGGCTTGCTCATGTGGGGCTTGGACCCGGATTTTTCTGTAAAGCTGCTTTGTGACAACGCCTGTTGTAAAAAGCAGTATATAAATAAACTTTTGCCTTGGCTTAAAACAGGAAGAAACAAACTCCCAGCAACATGCATTTTAGACCCTACCACTAATTTTATCTGGGTTTAAGAGGCAGAGGATGTTCCACCAAAAACTGACCACTGACAGTTGCTCAAGCTTTAGTACATCTAACAAAATATGTCATGTTCATTTACATTTATGGCATTTAGCAGATGCTCTTATCCAGAGTGACTTACAGAAGTAGAAATACATAAGAAGTCGAGCCAAGTTGAGGTGTACTTGACACTCAAAGAAAGGGTCAAATCCTCTGGATGATGCAGAGGAGAAACCTTCATGACTTCATGAGGTTTGCAACATGAGCCGAGAACGAAACCAGGTCATCCTGAATTACACCAAGGCTGCATGCATCTTCAGACAGAGTGACCAAGTAGTTCTCGAATGAGATGGCAAGATTATATTGAAGGCGTGCAGTTTCATGTATAGCCGTTCAGTATTACTAGGATTCAACTTCAGGTGGTCTACTGCAATCCATGGAAAGACGTCAGCTAGACATGATGGGGTGCGACTGGAATCCTGATTGTCAGAAGGTGAGATGGAAAGAATTAGTTGAGTGTCATTGGCATATCAGTGGCAGGAGAAGCCATGAAAAGAGATTACACCACCCAGAGAGTGTGTGTAAAGGGAAAAGAAAAGCCTTGTGGGACACCACTGGAGAGTCTGTATGTAGCGAGTGTGGATCCCCTCCATGTTACCTACACTGCACTTCAGTGTGTTCCAGTATTTCCACCTATCTTGTATTTCCACCTACCTGCCCTCAAATTTATATGTATGAGGCAGGGAACACCATTTCACATGTGCAAAGCACATAAACTGTTCATTAAAGTTCTACACCAATTTCATACATAACAGAATGTGTCCTGTCAGTACCTGAAACTGGCACAAAAGGCTTAGTACATCTGACTCGGAGGTCACATGAAGTAACCCCAAGGCCACCGTTTTCAGAGGGACAAGAGATGGTTTTCTGAACTGCATCTGGATTTGAAAACAGCTTTTGGACTTCACTGAATTTATGAAAACACTCTTTTGGTCAAAAGTATATTTTAAATGCAGCGGTTAATCTTCTTCCATTGGGGTCATTTTTAACAAGACAGATGTGAAAGAACATGGCCCCATTATTCAGACCCTGCACTGAATTTATTACTCTAACTCAAGGTCACTTAGGTTAATAAGACATGATGCAATGCAGTCATTACAATATACACCTTAATTGGACACACAAATGTACATTTCTGGAGTTCTCCTGAATATCACAGCAGACGGTTAGATAATCTACGCATTTTTAATACTGAAGAAGATTGCATAGACTCTTTAATAATATTTATGTCAATATTATTTTAAAGTATGAAAATCTCAAAACTAGTCTGTAATAGTCTTTTTTTTTCTAAATAAATAAGACATTACAACAAAACAAACTAAATTAAAGCTTCTATCAGAAACTTGTATTTACTGCTCTCTTTCCTTCCCAAAACCTCATAAAATTATACACTACATGTCCAAAAGTATCCAGATGCCTCTTTATAGTTATAAACTGTAAACTATAAACAGCTATAAACTCTATACAAAAGCATTGCCAATAGAATGTGACACTCTGGAACAGCCACACATAAGCCATGTCCAATGGCCAGCATTGGCCAGAGAGTTTCAAAGCCCGAAAGCATTGGCCTGTGGAGCAGTTAAAATTGTGTTCTCTGGAGTGCCAGAGCTCCTTTTAGTACCTTTGGGATGAGTTGGAGTGGAGTTTGTGATCCAGAACTACTCATCCAGCATCAGTATTTCACCTCACTAATGTTCTTTGACTGAATGCAATCAAATCTTCACAGCGATGTTCCAACATCTAATATAAAGCATTCTCAGAATAGTAGAGGCTGTTACTGCAGCAAAAGAGGGACAAGCAAAAAAAAAATATATTTAACGGAACAATACTCAGAAACAAATACAATTCAGCTTTTTAAAAAACACTACAGGTTTCATTTTTCAACATCTTCAAAGTTCAGTCTTAGAAGTTGGTTGCATTTTCTGCTTCTTACAATCCAACTAATCCTTAACACATTGAATGATGTTGAGGTCTGAACTCTGGGGTGATCATTGTTCTGAGAACACAAGCAGCATCTTTTCTTGTCTGTTTGCTTTTTCTTCTTCTTGACAGCTACACATCCTTTTAGGCCTCTAGTGTTGAGTTGTCTTCTCACAGTGGAAGGATGAACAGAAACACCTGTGGATTTTTCAAAAGTGAAGCAAGAGTGGAGCTTGATTTTCTCCTCTCTCTCAAAGATAAAAGCTTTAAGTGCTGTTTAAATGATGGGGACAGTTTTGGTGGTCTACCAGGTCACAGTTTTTAGGAGTCCCATTTTCTCTGCATGTTTTAATCATTTTCTGAAATTCTGAATTTTCACTTATTTTCCTTCGACTTTCCTTTCCTTATGCAGTTGTACCTCCAATCTTAGAAATATCTCCTAAAAATGATTTACTTGTGCTTAATGACTGTTTTGACTGGAAACTAAATAAATGAAGGGTGGTCTCTGACTTTTGTACAGTACTGTATCATAATATCCTGTGTTTTTGTTATGGGTGTGGTTTTGTACTATTATTCAAAAAATACTGCTGAGGTTACCTTTTACCTTTTACAGAATGTCATACATTTATAATCTATACACAACATGTTTTTGCCAATTAGGCTGTCTGAACTCCTCTATTAGTGTATTAACTCTTTGAAGCCTTACCTGAGTGTTTGTGTGTGTTTGTGCAGGGGAGAGAATGGTGTGGAACCTCATGCCCTATACAACCAAAGACTTCTCTATCCGCTCTCTTTCTGACCGTATCAGTGACCTGAACCACCTGCTGTTCCTGTACCCTGACCGGCCCAAAGATGAGGTTTTCTCCAAATACTACACACCTCCTCTCTGTAAGACATCAATTCTTGTGCTTGTAATTGTGCCTCCACCTGTGACGCTTATTATTCAAGAACTATGTGGAAAACAGTGCAAAATAATGGAATTATTATGATGTTGTGGGAGGCAGGAATGTAAGGCCAGTGTTCTAGCTGTTTTACATGTTCAGTACCAGCATTGCATTTTTCTCAGTAATGCAGAGATATGCTGTAATATCATTGCACATTCAGGGGGATCCATTATTCGTATCATTCAAAATGCTCCAGCATAGGCCTATTTTCACTAAAGGTTATGCAGGCTAAGTTAAGAAGGCCTGTGTTTAACTGAGAAATGCTGTTATCTCACATTATCGCTGTTACTGGGGATGAAACTGTTGATGTTACTGGAAGATAACATGAGGGCAAAACTAGAGTAGGAAGGGCCGTTGTAAGTAAAGAGATGTGATTTTGTGTGCGTGTATGTTTTTGTGTCATTTTGTGTTTGTTCTCATTACATTTTCAGGATTTAAATGTCCTTTGTTTGTAGGAAAACCAGAGAAAAACTGGGTCAACAAAAAAAGTTCTGGCTTTGTATACTTTAAAATTTCATTTTTGAACACATTTTGAAGGTTAGGGTTAAATTTAGGATCAGGTTTAGAAGACCCTAATTACATGCAGATACTTATATATGGTGTATAGGTGAAGGTGATTAATACATATAGTATTAAAGTGAAGGTAAGGGTTAGGGTTAGGTTTGGCATTAGGCCTAGAAAATTATTATTACATATAGATACTTACATATACAGTACTGTGCAAAAGTCTTAGGCACCTGAGCCAATTCTTTAAAACTATTTATCTGGGCAGTATTGGTCAGTGTGTTCTGGTTTCTAAAAACACCAATGTTAGACTGAATACAAACGAACATTACTGCTATAAAATTCCAGAAAATTCATTCTTTTTAAAATGTAATTGATATCTTTTAAGCTAGTCAGAAGAACAAAGTTTGGTTCCAGATTTTTCCTTGATGGCCTCAGCTGTCTCATGGATTTGTTAAATTCCATCACCAGCACTCCTGATTTACCATTATGAAGTATTCATTAACCAACCTAAGCACTGGATAATACAAATAATAAAATAGGATATAAAAGCTTACTACTCAGTTCAATAGCTATTTCTAAATATAATTTATTAGGTGCCCAGTACTGTATATGATACATACGGGACATATTTTATTGCATATAGGTACTTACATATATATAAAATGCAGTCATATGCAAAAGTTTGGGTGTCTTTGTCAAATGCCAAATGTTTTGTTGATTTTCTGTTAAAATAAGTAAAACATCCTCCACAGAGAACACAGTTCTGCACATTTTAATGCACATTTTCATGCACAGTTACTGTTTATATGCTGAATGTAACAAATTTAACCTTTGCAAAAGGTAGGGATTTTATATTTTTCCAAGATGTTAAAGCTACACTATGTAAGTTTTGGGGATTTGGAGACCTCTCTGGTGGAAATATGTAATTGTACACAGTGTGCAAAAGAACATTTTGTAATGTGGGTTGTGCTTTGGACCCTTTCCCCAAGCGGATGAATCTGATGATTGAGAGTTCGTTAAAATTAGTGATCGACAGGTTTTCTAAAGTCAACTCCAAGTCTTGACTCTTGCCGCTGGAGCTGACTCCTTGGCTCCACCAAATTTTCACCAAAAGAGTGCCAGAGTCATTAATAAAGGGATATAGCAGAGCTTTAACCATCCTAAACATAGTTTACTCAATTGTGGAGTAGCTACAGATTACATTGATATAACAAAAATCCGTAGATTACACCTAGTATACTCATAGTATATCAGGTAGCTTGACAATGATCACAGCTGACTAATGAAATGTGTGAATACATTTTACCATGAGATCGCCTATAATGAGGCTCCTGAAGTAAGCTCGAGCTTGAGCAGGCTACAGGACGAGGGGAAACTTGGAGCAATGTAGCCGCAGATTCTTTGGAATCAACTCCCTATCACCAGTTGAAAGACTTTTCAGAGAGAAATGAACTTAATGAAGGGCGTGTCTTCCAGGGACACAAGTGAAGTCTGTTGTTACATATTTTCATCAGTATTATGTCGATTTTGCTTTTGGGACCTAAACATCGAGCCGGACCCTCTTTTTAAGTCTGGGCATGTGATGATAATATGTAAACACATATGACGTGATCCAGAAAACTCGCAACCCAGTACCTCTGACTTTTAAGTTATTATTTCAGGCTTTACAGGGTGACTTGCAGCAGTGCACAGATGCCATGTTTAAGCATGTTTCTTTTTTTTCCTGACTCAGTAAAGCTTCATTTTATTAAAAAACAATCTTAGATAGCTTTAAATTTAGCCAATAAATAGGAATTGTGCACTGAAATTTGTAGAAAAGTGCCATATTTAAGTGTTCTCTGTGGAGGATGTTAACTTATTTTCACTTAGAATGTCAACAAAGCATACAGTTTGACCAGGAGTGTTCAAACCTTTGCATATGACTGTAGATATGGCAATGTATGTAAGACCTGACATTGTATTTAATCAAGCCTGTGTGTGATAACTCTAGAGAAATGGAAGGTAGTGTCTTAGAGGGCTTCTACAAAATAGCATGGAAGAACATACTGACCACTCTGACATTTGAAGGGTCTTAATAAGTGGCTTTATCGGTCTGTCTCTGTCTTCAACCTCTACAGCGAAAGCCGTGGACGGCTATGTCAAACCGCAGATCAAACAAGTAGTGCCAGAGTGAGTATCTACTCTTTTCCCTCCACCTGTGGCCTTTTCTTTTTCTGTCTCACTCTTGCAACGTCCCTGCATGCTGATTGTTCAGTAAAAGCCTTCATGTCTTTAATGTTCTGAGTGCCAATCCATCATCTTCACACAGTTAGCCTAATTGCATGCTAGCATATCAGCGCTCGCTTCTCCAGTCCAGCTCAGCTGGAAGTTAGTGGTCACCATGGAGATCTCATACTCTGCAATCTTATTCTCACCATCAGAATATACTAAGCCATGTTAGCACCATTAGCGGAGTTAGCCTGCTAGTGCTCCAGCGGTGGGGAGGTTGTTAGCTTGTTAGCAAGATGTCCACTCTGGTCAAACTCGACAGGAGTTAGCCAGTGCCAAGGGGATTCTTCATAGCATACATGAGAGCAGTTAGCATCGTTAGCTTTATTAGCTGCTTAGGATGACTTCTGCATGCGCTCTGTGGTGATGTAGGTGGCAGGTAGGGTGCCAGGCCACCAGGGCGGAAGATAAGGTCAGATCAATTACAGCTTGGCTAATGAGACACTTCTCATGCGCAAAAGAGAGTTGATGAATGTCATTGTGGTGTGTCTGTGTGTGCATGTTTTCAGGTTTGCAACGCCTAATCCTGACCCCGCAGCAAACCCCACCTACATGGATCACGCAGCATCACCGGCCGTCAGTCACCCATCAAACTACGGCATTTATCCAGCCATGTAAGTCAAACAAAACAAGACTTTTTGTGTTTGTGGATGTGTGTAGGTGTGTTCGTGACCACGCTATTAAAATCACCTCATTGTGGAACATCAAATGGAAAAATGAGCTATGGATACTTATTAAATAAAAAATAACTGCAGTTCACAAAAGTAGCTGTCTGTAGATACAGTTTATGTCTGGTTTGCTTATGACTTTCCAAGGCAACGTTATCAATTATTCATTCACATCCATCAGAAAAGTTAGAACAGCCAACAGTGACTAGATTTACTAACTAAAACTCAAAATGATGCCAGTAATTAAGTGAAATCTTAAGGCCAATTCTCAAACATTAGTTGGACAAACATCAATGTCTTTTATGTGGGCTACTATTTAGTATTTTTTAGTTTAATATTTGTGGTATATCTGTTATTTTACTCTTTCCATGACAGCACTTTTCAGTACATACATTTTTCACATTTGATTTTGGAATTTTCAGTGTATCTGCAATCAAATATTTTGGCTACATTAACCCTAAAGGTAAAAGTGGCCCAAGTCTGAACTCTATAAAAACACATTGAATCTCGTAATTTCTATTCTGATTTTGAGCCTCTTTCATCTGTGGTACTGAAATCATATACATGTCCGATACGGATCAATTTGACCATTTAGATTGACCATCTTTCACGTCACTTCAGCTCAATCTGTTAAATCATTTTGCATGTGCAGGAGCCTTATGGCAACAACATCAAAAAGCATCAAATGGTCACTATGGTTACGCATCATGGCTTTTCTTTCGGAAGATGATGCAGTGAAAACAAATACAGTTGTATGCAAAAGCTAAAACACCCCTAGTCAAATAACATGTTTTGTTGATTTTCTAATTGAACATGCTCTAAAGTAAACACACTTAAACATGGCTTTTTTCCTGTTAGTAAACAATTTCTTCTTATTTGCTAGAGTTAAAATATTGGGAAAAATAAAACATAAAATAAAAAAACCTTTACACAGACCACATTTCATGTATTATTTTTTATTTTCCAAATAAACAGTAATTGTGCATTAAAATATGCAGATTTGGGCCACTGAATGTAGTCTTTGTCATTGGGAAATAATATTTTCTGAGATATTGATTTAATATTAACTTAATATTAAAGTTTTCTAAAGGTCTATCTTTCAGAATGTTAATGACATATTGAGATGTGTTGGATGGTGGCTTTCCAGGAGTAGCAATATCCCTAATTTGAATATGACATGTATATATGTATTTGGATTACTGTTTTATTATAGTTTACAGTCGTGCAGTTGGACCCAAAGTATTGACTGATGATATAACTGAAATTATATACTTTTGAACATGGTAAAGCAAAAATATATAATTAAATAATTAAAACAAATGAAGTTTAAAATATGATATAAAAAGATTCTGAAAGATGTGTCCCAACACATCCTTCGAGCGCTCTATTTCAGTTGTTGGCAGGTCTCTGGGACCCTCTGTATTACAGGCTTTTCAGGGTTATAAGATCTTTGGTCTCCAGTCGTGCTGTATATGTACACGGCTAAATGAAAAGGACAATGCATTGAAACTGAAAGCAGCAAGTTTTATTTAGATTTATTGTGTTTTTTGCAGATGCTGTGAGTTGATTCTAAACATTATGTGATGTTTAGCACATTATGTGATGATTCACCTGCCATGAAAGATTTTGAAATACAACATCTGTTTATATTTTGAAGTATAACACACATTTGAGTGCTCCTGGCATACGTTGCTGTAGATGAATCTTTTTGAGTACCTGTTTCTTAGAAGAGATATTACTGTCATTTTGCTATAGTATGAAATGTAATGATGTGATTATGTAACTAATTACTTAATTATATAATTAATGAATATAACTTTTTTTCAGGTTACATTGTGTATCAACAACTTTACAGCTTTGAGTAGCTGAAAAATGAAAGGAAATATAAATATTTAATCATTTTTTATTATTAAATTCATAATAAAATACCTTTTGTTCTTCTACATATGCAAATGTGGTATTAATCGAATGTCTGCAACTGGATTTTCTTTTTTTGAAAAAGTTACAAGTTAGAAATACTTCATTAATTACAGCATGCTTTTGTTATTACCAGAGTTAAGTGTGACTTCTAAAGCTTAATAATTGTATTTAATTTCACGTTTGGAAACTACTTTTTAAAAATGTTTTTTTTAGAAAGAGTGTCAAGATCCTTGCAAGTTTGAGCTTTGAGATGATTTCCTTTTACTGTGTTTTTCATAAATAATTGACAGCTTTCTCTGTAATGTAATGAACTTTGTAGTCAGCAGTTACTGCAGCTTTGGTTTAAAATAGTTGGCCATGGTTTTAATCTTAATAGTTCAAAGTAGTCTGTAATTATATAAGTTATGAGGAAGTAGCTGGAATAGGCCTAATGAACTGACAGAAAACCTTAAAGAAATTTCCAAAATCTTCAGTTCTTTGCTGTCTTTAGTTATTATAGGGACAGTTGTTTGTTTCAGTTACACTATGATAAAGGACCACAGAGCTCAACCATTATATATCTGATATTTTCAAAATCAAATCAAACCAAAAACATTGTAGAGTTTGATGTTTCCAACACATTCGAACTTCTTTTGAATCGATTTCCTCTGTATAGAGTTTATTTTGTATTATTTACCCACTTTTTGCTTCTCTCCCTCTCTCTCTCTCCCTTTCTCTCTTTGTTCTGTCGCCCCCTCTTTTCTCATTCCTCTCTCTATGTCCTCTCTCTCGTCTCTCCCTTCTCTTTCTCTCCTTCTTTCTTTTCTCCGTCTGTGTTCTTCTCACCTCTTTTCGTTTTTCTGTTTCTCCTTCTTTCCTTTTTCTTTCTCTCTCTCCTCTCTCTTCTTCTTTCTCCTCTCTTTCTCTCTTCCTCCATCTCTTTTCTCTCTTTTCTTTGCATCTCCCTTTCTCTATTTGTCTCTTTTTCTGTCATTCTCTCTCTTCCTCTCTCTCTTTTTCTCTTGCTCTCATCCTCTCTCTTTTCTCCTCTTCTTCTCTTTATTCTTCTTTTTTATTTTTCTTTTGCTGTTCTTTCTCACCTTTTCTCTCTCTCTCCTTTCTCTCGCTCTCCCTTCTCTTCTCTGTTTTTGTTCTCCTCTCTTTCCCCATCTTTTGTTCTATCTCTTTTCTGTCTTTGTCTCTCCCTCCCTCTATTTGTCTCTTTCTTTTTTTCTCTCTTCTCTCTCTCTCTCTCTCTCTCTCTCTCTCTCTCTCTCTCTCTGTCTCAGGGGTGACAGTATGCTGGATAACGATGGTGATTTTGATCTGGACGACACCATGGATGTAGCAAGGCATGTGGAGGAGCTGCTTCGCCGACCGATGGACGGCCAGTGGAGCGGCCAGCAGTCATGACCTCTCAACCTTAGACCTCTCTCCCTCAGTGATGGTTTATTCTATTCATCTCTACTGCCCTCCTTCTCCTCCTCCTAATCCCTCCCTCCTTCCTTTCCCTCCTCTCTTCATTTCATCCCTAATGTGAACAAGTTCAGTGATGGATATGGCTTCTTGTACTGGTTGTTTTTCTCTCATTCTCTCTTTCTCCTCTTGTGCTCTGTCACTTTTTTTTTCTCCGCATGTGAGCCGCATACAGAGACGAAGCAGATTGTTTTCTCTTTTCCCCTTCACATGTGTGAAAGAGAAAAGAAATTAAAAAATAGCACCAAACAGTATTGTGAGAAAAAAACTCTCGTAACACGCATGTGTTCTCCTCTCTTTGTCGTTTTATGGTTTTATTTTGAAATGCAGTTGTCTGAAGTAGCGCCATGAAAAAAGCCCAAAATAGAACTGTACTACTGTAAGAAGGTGTTTTATTTTCAGATTGTTGTTTTTTTTCTGTCTTTTATTTTATATTGTGTCCGGATTATTTTGCATCGAAAGTTCATGCGTTCGAACCCATTGCACTCTGGAACAAATGCATATTTGTGGGGAAGATGAAATCACTGTTACCATGGTGATTGTAATGTATGTCTCTATACACTAAAGCGCATTTCGGTTGCAACAGAGCTATTGATAGTCAGTACGTCTGCAAAGGTCCCTGAAAAGACTGGACAGATTTTCTTTATGTCTGAGTTCATAAAACACACACATTCATGCACAAATACACTCACAGACTTCATTTATATACACAGGTGTCTACATAGATTGAAAACACACACACAAACACACTGCCACCTCCCTCCCTTTCTGTTTCCCCAGCTGTATAAGGGTGCGGTGCGTAGATTTGTACTGGGCAATTTGTTATCTGTTCTGCATCAGAAACCCACTGTGTTATAAAGCATGATGTACTCTTTTTTTGCACTGCAGAAAGTACAGCACTGTGCAAAAGTCAGAGACCACCCTTCACTAGTTACATCTCCAGTCAAAACAGTCATTACGTGCAAGTTTTCAGGAGATGTTTTTGATGAGATTAGATAATAAGATAATCCATTTACATAAAGAAAGAGAAAATCAAAGAAAAAGTTTCCAAAACTTGAGTTCATGCAAGACAATGCAAGACCTGGTGGACTACCGAAACTGTCCTCATCAAATAACCAGCACTTAAAGCTTTCAACTTTAAAAGATACTGGAAAAACCTCATCAAGCTCCACTTTTGCTTCAGATCTGATAAAAAAAAAGGTGTTTCTGTCCATCCTTCCACTGTAAGAAGACAACTCAGCAATATGAGTCTAAAAGGATGTGTAGCTGTCAAGAAGCTTTTACTGAGAAAAAGAAAGAAGGAAATTTGCAAATCAGACAAAGAGGCTGCTAGTGTTCTCAGAACTATAGACTGACCACCCCAGAGTCCAGAACATCACTGAAAGTGTTTGGGATTACTTGGATCAGCAGAAAATGCAGCTTCTAAGACTGAACTTTGGAATTTGTGAAAAACTATCTCTGCAGATTTTTTTGAAAAACTGATATTGGGTCTCCTGAAGAGACTGGAATCTGTTATAAAGACAGTGGACACACTAAATACTGAGACATTTGATATTGTATTTAGTTGTTGAGGTGAATTTTCTATATGTATTTTTTTGCTTTTTTCCTGACACTGAAAAGTGAATAGCTTGTGCTTAATAGCCATTTTGATTGGAAGTTAAATAAATGAGGGGAGGTCCCTGACTTTTATACACTACTGTATGTCTAATGTATGAAATAATTTGGTCACAACCCTCTGTAGATTGTCTAGAGATGCTTACATTGTTAGGTTTAAGATTGGGTTTTAGGTTTTAGGTTCAACTTAATGTTAAGGTTTGGTTTAGATTTAGATTTAGCAGAATCTTATCTTCAGCTTTCAGTTGCGTGTAATAAATATTTCAGTGTTAAAGACGAGCTGAGCATCTACAAAGTGTCTACCGTAGACTCTCAAAACAAAGTGTTACCACTTTGTAGAAATCCCATAAGATTATTCTATCTGTTTATATAATTTGTAGTTATTTTAACCCTTTAAATGGCCAGGGCCTACTCGTGGGCCCAAACTTTTATCACACACTTCTATATTCTATTAGCTCAGCCAGTTTACATTGAGGTCCTTGTAATTACTGAATAATAACCCTTAGTATGTAATAATCCTGGGATTATAAGGGGTTAAGTAATTTCATCAAGTGAAATGATATTTTTGTGTTAGCTTGTTTAAAAAAAGGAAGTGAAATGATCTCCCAGGACAGTAAAATCATTCCTCGTAATAAAATAAAAAGTACTAAAAAGTTTGGATGCAGATGAAATAATCGAATAGTATTTTTACAGCCGTCTCATAATGAGAAGTGTTAGATGTATTGATTACGCTCAAGATGTTTCCATTCTTTGCAGTGTGGATGATGCTACACTACGTTAGCCCTGGCTTTATCCAGAGCAACAGGTGAAGTCTGCCATGCCATATATGGCACACTGAGCATGTGCGAAACGAGAGCACCTGTTGTCATGGTGACGTATGCTGCTCTAATGCTGTAGACTGTGTCCAGTTACCATCTTATAGCTTTAGAACAGATAGATGTGTACGCACCCTCCCTTATTAGACCTCCCCCACTCTCTCTCTCTCTCGCTCTGTCTCTCCCCCCATCATGCTCTCTTACTGCACTGAAACAAGTGATGCATTGTATTTTCACATTCACATCATTTCCATGTGAATAAAATATAATACATCAACACAGTTTTGTTTTATAGTTTACCTACTTTTGGCAATAATTGTGTTGATATGATACGTTATTTATGTGGAAATGATGTAAATTCAGTGCATTACTTTGTTTCTTCTTTTGCACATACACACGCACACACACACACACACACACAAATATACACGCTCAGGACAGTTAAAAACAGTGGATGTATCATTCAGGCTAAAGAAACTAACAGGCAGAAGAGAAGATCTATATTCAGTATAAATATATATGAATTTATTTTCTTTAACATAATTCTATTTTATTACTGTGGAAGCTCTATGGCACCGTCCCTCTATGCTCTGTGTACTGTGAATGCTACATAAACACTTCAGGCCTTGGTAGATGAAGCCCCTAGATGTTGACCTGAATCTCAAAGCCAGATAGTAGCTATTACATGAAGAAAAGAGAAAAACAAAAACAGATCTTCAGCATCGGAGGGCTTTTGCTACCAACACTGCAGTCTTGCTTTAACTAGGGGTGGGCGATATGACGATATGTTATCATATCGTGATAAATTACGCATTACAGGTAGCATCTGTGTTTCGAGAACATTAAACTATTAATTCAAATCAGAACTTTACGCTGTCCATGCTCTTCCCACCAATGTGTTCTTTCATAGCAACCTTTGTTAGGTTGGATAAGCTTCACAGATCCCATTCAGCCTAATGAGAAACTCTAAACCTGCAATGTGTGTTTTTCATTTCAAAAGATATTTATTTTGCATGCACATCTCCGATTAGCTGCAACATACACCAGCTGATTAGTGTAGCATTTTAAACTGGAAACCCAATGTTATGTAGCGACTCTAAACAAGCTAAATTCATTCTGTTGAATGGGATTTTAGCTAAAGTCTGTAAAGCTTCTCGCAACAGTTGCTATGAAAGAATGCATTAGTGGGCAGAGCATGGATTGTTAATAATTAAACTGCATATAAACAAGTAGCTGATTGGATGTCATTATTTATTTGTTTCTAGCTGTGGGCTTTTCCCTCTTTCCCTTCTTACAGTGAAGAAAATAAACGTGATTGATTGTCATACAGCGTTTTTCAGTGTTGCAATGGTTCCAACTCGTTTGGAAAAACTAAATAACCTGATGCATTTCGTATATCGTGAAAAGTATCACAATATTACTTTGGCCATATTGCCCACCTCTAGCTTTAACCCACAGCCAAGCTGTTGCATGAATGAAAAAGCCATATGATAAGCGCGGACGCCACTGTGCTTCATGTGTTTCCCGCAGACATTACTAATCAACAAAATAGTTTGATTCCTCTCAGTGTAGTTTGGTTTCCTTTGAACTTTTCCTGTTTTTTTCGACCCCCTCCCTCATTCTCCTCTAGAACAGAGGAGAGTCTGAAGATAACGTCAGAAGTCGTGCGATTTTTCTTTTGCTTCTTCGTCTCCTTTTTTTTTTATTGTTTTCATTTTGTTTTGTTTTTGCTGTTGTTCTTTTTTTTCTAGACTCTGGTCTTGTCACTCAGTAGTCTGTCTTTCACACTGTAGGTGGTAATGTATATGTGTGTTGGTGTGTATGTGTGTCTATGAGTATGTGTGTGTGTGTGTGTGTATGTGTGTGTAAGTATGTGTGCGTGTGTGTTTGTGTTCGGCCTCGTCTCGTGTTTTTGTCACATGTTTTTGGTTTGGTTTTAGTGCTTGGATATGTGTTCTAAAAGAAGAGCAATTGAATTGAAAATAAAGTTTTATAAATAATTTGAACTGAATCACATGATCGGCGTGAGCGGACTTCATTCAGAGAATGAAAGAGTCATATGATATTACAAAACAACACTGATGTGTTTGGGTTAATACTGCAATCTCTTTTTTCAGTCCCTTGTTTTCTAATATTTTATTTCTAATATTATTTTTATGAATTCATGAAGTCTCAAAAAAGTACAAAACCATCTGAAAACAGAAAAGCTCAAAATAATTACTTCAACCTGTTTAAGCATTGAGGTCTAAGGTTCAGCCAAAAATCAAATACAGTTTTCTCCTTACTTCAGATGTAGTTGACCAGCCAAGACATGCTGGCATGGCCAGAATTCAGGTTTCACACTTTTTTTTTGCTTTCTTAATATACTTTTGTCCATTTTTATACGCAGCAGTATGTCATGCAGTGCCAGAAAGCACATAAACAAATGTATTTTTAGTTACTTAACAACTTGACACAGTTTGAGGCCAATATGTGATGAATTAGGCATGCAGTTTGCACGATGTTAGTGGTAATAAGCTTCCATTAGTTGTTAGCTCCTTGCAGGGCTGTTTCTAAACGCTTGGAGGCCCTAATCCACTTCCCAGCCCAATGATTTGATTTAGAATATATGATAAAAATGAATTTTCCGAGCAGGAAATGTTTCATTAATGCTAAAGTAAACACCATATAGCAGTAATGTAGCTATAGGGGGGTAGAACTATGTGTTCTTTCAAAATGAATAAAGTGCAGCATAATCATGTGAATGAAACACTGTGTTTAAGTGGTGGGTGCATAACTTCTGTCATCAGTGATGTCTTCATAAAATATTTTTTCTGCCAATATCATCAAAAGCATAAACAATATGGACATTAATATGGGCCCATTATGGTTCATGGGCCCCTAAGACAGAGGTTATGAACCTTGCCTGTGCACTGTTTGATAAAAGTGCAGCCATGAGCAGGGAGAACTAAGGCCTCAGCATACTTCTTGCAAAACTAATGCAGGTGATGTTATGACATTTTATGATAAGTTCCATGACTAGTGAAAAATGATTCTATCACAGTTCTAACTATGGCGACATGCGAGTCCAGTAAACTGCCACCATTAAAGGCGGAACGGGAAAATCCCTTGTGAACCCAAATATAAGATACTATATTTTTTGATGCTTACTACTGGTTAGTAATACCAAATAACAGACTTAAAATTGTACATTTAGGAGGTATTTATTGTTTATTTAACAAATGCGCGTTTCACAGTGAAATATTGGTGTGTCTGCCAAAGCGCTTATCGTACTTCTTGCGAAACAAAGCTCTTCATAGTCGTCCATCTTTGTTTCATGGCACACCTCTTTTTTACCAACCAATCACAGGCTTTGTCACATAGTGTCTTCATTTGTGGAGTGGGAACTGCCATGTGCGCGGCATGGCAAGTGAAGGCTCCTCGTGATGTCTGCGGTTGTTCGTTTTCTCTGCAGTTGCATCATATTGTTCGCTGAAGCCAGGCAAACATAATTTCCTCAAGAAGTAGAGGCCTGTAGTAGTGAAACTGCTGAAATCCACTATTTAATTGTTGTCAGTAATGTTCTTATAATAGTATAGTATATTTGTATTCAAGCTTTCATTCTTATCATTACATTTCCTTATCATATTAGCCCACATCACGCTAACATAAGTAAAGAAGTCAAAAATGAATACACAGACAGTATTAATTAATATAAAGATTTTATTTATTTGCAGAAGCTGAGGATCACAACGAAAACTGTATAAAAAAGAATCATTCAGTCCAAAATATGATGTCAGCAAATCCACGCAGCAGAAAATACAGCTAAACAAATTATGATGTGACAGATTTACTGTAGATCCAAAGGAGCCACACATTCAAGAACAAATAAACAGGAGAGCCACATTTACAGCAAATCCTCAAAAGTCTACCAGTTTAGGAAATGTGATTTATCCTGATTTATCCCCACACAACATACAGTGCATCCCTGCAATGCAGTCTGTACAGTGTGAGGCATACAAACCCTCTTATTAGTTTCAATTAGTTTTTTACCTCCTGCCACAAAATAGTGGTCTTAGGGTATGATGATTGGCTGGTGGGCCTGAATAAGCTAATCATGAGCTTTGTGGCATCATAAACCCCCTGTTCTTCTACTGGTCTGTGGAAACCACTGTGGGCTGTGCATCAGTGGGCAATGTTAAAAAGGTTGGGAGGTTGGAATGCCTGCTGTAAGAGACTGCTTATACCGCTTTTATAAAGAAACAGCCCTGGCTACATTAGCCTCATGCCCCTAAAATTGTCTTAGTTGACTGACTACATTTGACGTAAGGAGAAAACTACATTTTTGTACATTTTTTTTCTAATTTAAATCTATTGATGCATATTTAGACCTGGTTTTATTGTGGTACGTGCTGTGTCTCCTTATGAACGACTCCCATTTGAAATAAGGTTCATCATAAAGTGATATGATTCTTCACATTCCAGTTACGTATCTTTATTACACACAAACATATAACAACACAAAGGGAAATTATCATATTCCCAGTCCAGTAGGGTTCAATAAAGCACCGCCAAATGTTCTCGTTCCCACACAAGCTACAGTCTGTGAACACTGATAACGCTAAGACAGATAACTCGGTGCGTCAGGGCTCTTTAGAATGCAATTACTTAATTACGTTATCTGCAACAGAGTGATGTCATTCATGGATAAATGGTAGCCTACCTAGAATCAGCAACCTGACTCATCCAGCAGTAACGGTCAGTCAGTGAGTGTACGGCCCACAAACCCAGCAAATGCACAAACCTATCCAGGCCAAACTGAAGATTTCATGGAAATGGGCTTCATACTACTTACATGACATTTAAAAGGGCCATATTTTTAAATAACATGTTTTATGTACTATGTAGACATTGTTAAGGTTTAAACCATACCCCTCCCCGGTCCATATACAGCTGTATGCGAAAGTTTGGGCGCCCATACTGGAAAAAAAAATAAAACATAAAAATTGGCACATTTTACACTGTGAGTTTTATTTTTCTTTCCAATACGTTAAAATCAGCAAATAAACAGAAATTGAGCACTAAAATTTGAAGTGTGTTCTCTATAGAGAATGTATTTAATTTTACTTAGACAATCAGGAAAACATGAACGTTGACAGGGGTGTTCAGACTTTTGCATATAATTGTATGTGAAAACAGCTCTTTTGAATTCATTGTCTTTGTGATGTCACAAAGACCAATTTATATTCATATATCCAACTATTCGAACTACAGAAGTTTAGCTCCGCCCATTAATGCTAAAGTTATAGTTATAAAGTTATAACTAAAGTTATAGTTAAAGTTATGAAGCAGCAACCATTGATTCTTCTTCCTTCTGCATCTTCAAACTGGTGCTGTAGCGCCACCAAATTCAAGCTGCCACTTAAACGTAAAAACGCAAAAGGCACTCTCTAGAAACTTGGGGGCCTCTGTTGGAAGAGAACCCGCACCCTATGTAGATATGAGGGGCAGAGAACAGATATTGTAATCAAGTCTATCAATCCAAAAGTCTATCCTGTAGTGGTCTTTGAAGAGAAGTTTGTGAGGTCATTAATTGTATGGTAGGGTGCTGTGGCCCTCTGCTGGACAAAGTGTGTAAGCTCAACTGTGAAGCTTAGACAACACTCACCTTATATAAACCCAGACACAAACGGATGACATGCAATTAAGGACATACCACTGTGTCTAATCTAATATGTAGCATCAATGAATCACCTGATTTATACCATCGTCAGTATTCCTCACAAACCGGGCTCCAAAGGGCAGCTGCCAGCTGGCCATGGTTATTAATCCACACAATTAAGCGAAACAGAGGGGGTGTTTGTCTCTGGTCTAATTGTTAATGGACTGGACGTTGCCCAGGGTGAAGGCTCCATCACTGCTTGGCTGCAGTTTCTAATATAAACTTGGGAAAGAAAAGTAGCTCCACACAGAGCTTTTACAGCATGTTCTAATAAATGACTTGTGATCGCAATTGGAGTTAAATAAGCTGCTGTTTGGCCTGAAGGATGATTTATTTTCCTCTCTCTCTTTCCCGTCTCTTTCTCTCCATGCCTTTTTCTCTCTCTCTCCATTGCCTTTCCCCTCTCTTTTTTTTCTATCTATCTATCTCTATGCCTCGCTTTATCTTTCTCTAAGTTCCCGCTTTCTCTTTTCCCTCTTCTTTCTCTCTTCTCCATCTCTCTCTCCCTCCTTTTACCACTCTCTCTGTCTTTGTCTCTTCTCCATCTCCCTTTCTCTCTTCCCCATCTCTCTTTCTCTCTTCTCAATCTCCCTTTTTTCTTCCTCATCTCTGTCTTTCTCTTTTCCCTATCTCTCTCTTTCTCTATTCCCTGTCTCTCTCTTTCTCTTTTCCCTATCTCTCTCTTTCTCTATTCCCCATCGTCCTCTTTCTCTTTTCTCAGTCCCCTTTTTTTTCTCTTCTCCATCTCTATTTCTGTCTTCCATATCTTACTCTCTTCCCTGTCTCACCTTCTCTCTTCCCCATGTCACTGTATTTCTTATCTCTTTCTTTTTTACCCATCACTATTTCACTTTTACTCATCTCTCTTTCTCTCTTCTCAAGCTCCCTTGTTCTTTTCTCCATCTTCCTCTCTCTCTCTTTCCCATCTCTCTCTTTCTCTCTTCCCCATCACCCTATTTCTATCTTTCCCATCTCCCTATATCTGTCTTCCCCATCTCTTTCTCTCTTTCCCATCTTCCCTCTCTCTGTCATCTCTTTCTCTTTCCCCATCTCCCTCTCTTCCTCACCTCTTTCTTTCTAATCATTTCCCTCTCTCTTTTTATCCTCCTTTCCTCTTTCCCCCCATTCTTTTCTCTCTCTCTCTCTCTCTCTCTCCCTCTCTCCCTCTCTCTCTCTCTCTCTCTCTCTCTCTCCTCTCTCTCTCTCTCTCTCTCTCTCCTCTCTCTCTCCTCTCTCTCTCCTCTCTCTCTCTCTCTCTCTCTCTCTCTCTCTCTCTCCCCCCCCAGTTTGGGTATAAGCTCATTTGCACAATGGG